GGTGGATCACCAAGTCACCACACATTCCGAGCACAAGTTCAAAAGGCCAGAAGGCCAGTTCACATGCAAGATCACATAAAGAGATATACAAGAGTCAAGCAAGCAAGAGCAAGAGTATATATAGGTAAAGGTACAAGCAAGGTCAAGAAGTGAGCAAGTGAGGCAAGACAGGCACAAGACCCAGCTGCGTGCAGCAACGCTGATGATCACAAGGCGCAAGTGCCTTGGTGAAGACATCAGCAATGTTGGCCTCAGAGGCCACGTACGCAAGTCGCAACTGTCCACGCTGCTGTAGCTCACGAGCAAGAAAGTAGCGGAGAGAAATGTGCTTTGTTCTGTGCTCCAGTCGCTGCTCTCGACACAAGGCCAGCATGGCCTTGTTGTCTACGTACAAGACTGGAGGAGAACGAGGCGGCTCTCCAAGGTCGGTCAGCAGGTAGGTGAGCCAGCGAAGCTCCTGGGCCGCCATAGCCCCGGCGTAGATCTCAGCCTCACAACTGGAGCCGAGAACAGAAGACGAGCGGGTAGCCCGCCACGAAACAGAGCCGGAACCAAGGCTGAAGGTGTAACCCTGTGACGACCACTGCGTAGCCTGGTCGTCAGCCCAAGAAGCGTCCGCGTGCCCAGTGAGGACCACTGGACTGCGCCCTCCAAGCACTAGCCCCATGCCCGACGTACTGCACAAGTAGTGCAACACCCTCTTCGCTGCAGCCATGTGCTCTGGTCGGTGTCTCCCAGGAGCAACATAGCGTGCGAGAATGCTAAGAGGGTATGCAAGGTCAGGTCGTGTGCAGGTCATCAGGTACATGAGGCAGCCAACAAGCTCTGCATACGGGCCACTCGACTCTACGGACTCATCCGAAGGCAGAGCTGAGAGCGAGTGGCGAGTAGGCAGAGGAGTGGCCTGAGGCGAGGAGTACGCGAAGCCGAAGCGCTGAAGGACCTGCTGCACCATGTGTGACTGAGTCAGGGTAATGGTGCGGCGTGCTCTGTCCCGGGTGATCTGCAAGCCAAGGTAGCTGCGCAGTTCACCCAGGTCAGTGCACGTGTGTCTCTTCTGCTGCTCGGACTTCACGTAGGCGAGTCCAGCAGTGTCAGCTGTGGCAAAGACCAAGTCGTCGACGTACACGAGGATGTAGAACGGCGGCATAGAGGTGTCGGTGCGCAGAAACAGCGACGGATCTGCAGTGGAAGGAGCAAACCCAAGTGCCGCCAGCGTAGTCCTCAGTGTGTCGTGCCACTCACGCGGCGCCTGGCGGAGACCGTAGACTGGACGCCGGAGACTCCACTGGGTACCAGGAGGGAAAGACCCAGTGAAGCCAGGTGGGCGACGCAGCCAGATCTCCTGGTGCAGGCTACCCTGCAAGAAAGTTGTGCTGAAGTCGAGAGAGTGCAGCTCGTAGTTGCGGTGAGCAGCAACGTGCAGCAGTACCCGAAGAGTGGTCATCTTCGGGGTGGGGGAGAAGGTCTGAAAGTAGTCAACTCCCTGCCGCTGACTGAAGCCACGAGCCACGTAAGGCGCCTTGAAGACAGGTGGAGAACCCGGCGGCCGCTTCACCCTGAAAATCCACATGCCACTGACGATGTTCGCCCCAAGAGGGGGGACAGCGTCAACGTAGGTGCCTGTGGACTTCCAGGAAGCCATCTCTGCATCCACAGCTGCCTGCCACTAAGAGGAGTAGGGACCCTCTATCGCCTCCGCGTAAGAGCGCGGAGTCGGGATGTCTAGTGCATCCGGGTCTCCCTCAGGGGTGAGCAGTTAGACGCGAGATGAGGTGAAGCGGCGGCCAGAGACTGGAACTCCTCCTGCCTGTCCTCTAGGACGTCCGTGCTAAGGGCACACTCACCCCTGACGGACGGAGGACAGGCAGACTCAGACTCAGCGACAAGACTAGCAGCGTAGTCTAGACGACAGCGCGCAGCAAAGTCGACGAGCTCAGTAACAAGGGCGGACGCAGCAGAAGACTCGAAAGAAGGGTCAGTGACGGCAGTAGCAAGGAGACGCGTGACAGTAGGACTGGCAGCACGAAGAGAGTCCGACTCCGGGTCGGCAAGAGTAGGAAGAGAGGAAGCAGGAGGAGAAGGCAAAGGGGCACACAGAGGAGCAGTGGACGGACGCAGAGACATCCGATGCGTGCCAGGGACAGGAGGAGGACGCTGACGCGAACCGCGACCACTAGTGCGCGCAGCACGAACAGGCGACGCAGGATGTGACGCAGGCTCACGGCGCTCAGTAAGACCGCCAGTCGGACCAGTGTAGGGAGAAGGAGCAGGCAAAGGGAAGGCACGCTGTAGCTGTGACTGTGACTGGACAGGCTGTGGACCCTCTAAGGGAGGAGGAGGAGGACCAGGAGAAGGGGTAAGACCAAGAACCTGCTGCAGGAGTGGAACGAAGTACGGTCAGGGTCGCGTGGGGACGCCAGAAACAGCAGGGACAGCACCAGTACCCCCAGCAGGAGTACCCGCTCCAGCAGCACCTCCAGTAGCTCCAGAACCCCCAGCAGCACCTCCAGCAGCCCCAGAACCTCCAGCACCACCAGGAGCACTGCCAGTCGGACCGCCAGCGGTAGTCTCAGCGCCAACACGCTCAGCAGCACCAGCTCCAGGAGAACCCGCAGGCCCAGCAGCTCCAGTACTCCCAGTACGAGCACCTCTGGGACGCGCGGCAGCAGCACCCTTAGCAGCCGAAAAACCTCCAGCACCAGCAGCACGCCTCCAGCGCCGGGCAAACCACTCACGCAGCTCCTGTGGGGAGAGTGGCTCTCGGCGAGACGAAGCACCCGGACAACCTCCAGGCGAAGAACCTCCAGTCTCAGCACTCCCAGGCTCAGCACCCCCAGGCGCAGCACCTCCAGTCTCAGCACCCAAAGGCTCAGTACCCCCAGGCTCAGCACCCCCAGGCCCAACACCCCCAGGCTCAGCCTCCCCAGGCTCAGCACCCTGAGACTCCGCACCCCCAAGCTCCGCACTCCCAGGCTCAGCACCCTCAGGCACAGCACCCCCAGTCACAGCACCCCTAGGCTCAGCACCCACAGCAGCACCAGAGTCACCAGTGACCTCGACAGGCTCGACCGCGTCTACCTGGGACACACCTGAAGGGGCAGGACCCTGAGGGGGGAGGGGGTCTACCGGGGGGGGACCTGGTACCAAGAAGAGCGGGGGCGGGGGGAGGGACGGAGTGCGGTAGGGGAAGAGACGGTAGTAGGGTACCGACTCGTCGAACGTGACGTCTTGGGAGGACAGAACACGGCGAGAGGTGGGGTGGTAGAACTGCCACCCAGGGGCGTCGGAGGGGAACCCCAGGAAGACGCAGGGAGCAGCGCGAGGGGACAGCTTGTCCGCAGAAAAGTCGCGGACAAACGCCCGAGATCCCCAGACCCGGAACGCCGACGCATCGCCAACCTTCCCCGTCCACAGCAGGGCTAGGGAGGTCTCCGGCCTGGAGACCCTGGGGTGGAGGTTGATCTGATGCGCCGCGTACCTAACCGCAAACGGCCACAGAACATGGGGGACAGCCGCATGCATCATAGACGTACGAGCGACGTCCATGACGATGCCAATGCGGCGCTCTGCAATCCCATTTTGCTGCGGTGAGTCCGGAAGCGTGAAGGTCTGACGGATGCCTCGCGCACGAGCACGCAGAAGGCCAGAGGAGAACTCTCCGCCTCTGTCCGAGTGCAGACGCAACACAGGAAAGTCCGAGCCAAAGCTCTGCCTGAGCTGGAGACGAGTTGCGCGGATCCAGTCGATCAGCACCTCAGTGACCTCACCCTTGCTGCGCAAGGGGAAGACTGTGGTGTAACGCGAGTAGTCGTCAACCACCAACAGGAAGTAGCGCTCGTGACCGAGTCCACGGACGCGGGCAGGGCCCCACACGTCCATGTGAAGCGTCTGCAACGGAGCCTCTGTCGGAGGAGACTGGGAGGAGTGAGTGGCAGCACGCTGGCGCCCCTCGACACAGGGGACACAGGCAGGGCCAGGGCCCTGAGGAAGGGGAGGGAGGGACCGGGGGAGACCAGACACAAGAAGACGGGAGGCCATGCCTCTGAGCCAAAGCAGAGAGGGGTGACCCAGGCGGTGATGCCAGAGGAGAGTCTCGTGAGACTGGCGACGACACGAACAGGGGGCAGACTCAGGACCAGACCTGGACGCTGCAGCAAACACCTGACCTGACGAAGGGACCCTACTAGACTCAGGAACTGGAGGAGAAGCAGTGGTCAGTGTGTACAGGCTCGACCCTGGCTGACGTGTAAACGTAGCCAGGTGACGGCCTGTGCTAGCCTCTGTGCAGTGCGTCACCCGCTGACGAGCAGGGGTGAACTGGTGGACTCCCGCATCCTGAAGGTCAGCACCACTCACCAAGTTCGTAGAGAATGAGGGGAGGTAGAGACCAGACAGGGTGCCAGAGGGAGCCGCCGGACACGGGAGGACGGTGGAGAAGCGAGACAGGACAGGACCCCCAGAGGGGTCAGCCAGGGACACCGCAACCGGCCGACTAAGCGGCGTGAGTGTGGTGCGGTCCCGAAAGAAGGAGCGAGACGCTCCAGAGTCAAGAGTGAAGGTGTGGGAGGCCGAGGCCGACGCACTACCTGAGGGCGCAGACTCACTGGTACCTGAGAGAGCAGCCTCACCAGTACTTGAGAGCACAGACGCACTGGCACTTAGAGCAGAAGCCTCACTGACACCTAGAGCAGCAGTACCAATGCCCGGGTCGGGCGGGAAACACCGGTAACAGTCACCCTCATCACTAATGGTCACAGCATACATGGCAGCAAGGATAGCATCAAAGTCAAGATCAAAGATAGCTACACCAGCCCTAGACAGCTCTCCCCAACGGGGGATCTCCGCGGCCTCCGGGAACTGCTGACGCCAAGCGTCCGTCAGGCGGCCAAAGCAGTGCTGGGCGGTGTGGGTACCCCCACACTGCTCTCCAGCACGGTCGCCAGTGCGAAGGACGTAGGTGCAGGGACCTGCACGGGGTCATTCGGTCCGGGCAGGACATGAATGAACGGCACTACACGGTGTGTGTGTGGGAGGCAGTTCAAGGTATTAACAATAGAACGTGAGCTGTGGGAATACAAGGTATGACAACAATTGTTGGGGTGCAATTGTGTATGACCTCATGCCCACGGACCTGCATGGTATCATTCGGTCTGGGCAGGACATGGATGAACGGCACTACACGGTGTGTGTGTGTGGCAGTGTGTGCCCCCTTCCCCTCCTCTCCCCAGCCCATCCTCTTCCAGCTGCTTCGAGGCGCCAAGTACATCCACTCGGCCAACATCCCTCTTTTCCCTTCCCTTTTTCGTTCTCCCGGCACAAAAATGCCATGCTTCTACCCCGATCTCTCCCCCCTCCCTCCTCTCTCCCCAGCGCATCCTTTTCCAGTTTCCGAAGGGAGTTAAGTACATCCACTCGGCCAACATCCTGCACCGTGACTTAAAGCCCCCCAACATCCTCATCGACGGGCGCTGCAACATCAAGATCACCGATTTCGGCCTTGCGCGAACCCGTGTGGAAACCACCGACCACCTGACCAAATATGTGGTTACCAGATACTACCGCGCTCCCGAGCTGCTGTTGAACAACCAGCAGTACATCGCTTCCATCGACGTGTGGTCGGTGGCGCTCATCTATCTGGAGCTCGTGCTGGGGCACATTGTGCTCAGAGGCGATAACTATGTGGACCAGCTCTGCAAGACCTGCGAGGTGCGGCTGAAGGGAGGAGGGACAGCAGAGGGGAGTAGGGGTAGGGGTGAGAGTGAGCAGGGCCTCCTGCTTCCTACAAGGCTTTCCTTACATTTTCCCCTCTTGTGCTTTGCTCCCCTAATCGTTCTCCTTTCACCCACCAGCTGATTGGATCTCCATCAGTTGAAGACGCCTCCTTCATAGTCAACGATGCCGACCGCACCTTCCTGCCCCCAGAGGTGCAGGCCTTGCCTGATCTTTTTCCCTCTTGTGCTTTTTTCCCCCACTTGTTCTCCATCTCCCCCTGCATTGCTGTCACCACACCAGCTGATAGGATCTCCATCTGCAGAGGACGCCTCCTTTATAGTCAACGATGCCGCCCGCACCTTCCTGCTCTCAGAGCTACTAGGCTTCCCCGCGCGGAACATCAGGGACGTGTTCCCCAAGCTGTCGGAACCCGCGGCTGACTTGGTGCAGGGCATGCTCGGGTCCGACCCGAGAAGGCGAATCACATTTGACGAGGCATTGGCCCACCCGTACCTGGCGCACTACCACAAGGCGAATCAGGACCCGCCGCACCCAAACCCCTTCCAGTTCGACCTGAGCTTTGAGCAGGAGGAGTATGACATCCCCCGCATCCGCCAGCTCGTCTTCGAGCAGGCCTGCGCCTTCAACCCCCAATAAATCCCAAAGTTCAGCTTTCAGTACACCCCATTTCGAGAACTGAACGGAAGGGAGCGATGTGTGCCGTACTGAACGGGTTGCATGTGGCATACTGTACTACTATGTGCTTCTGCGGGCCAAGACGTTACCAAGGAAGAATCCAATTTGAGCTGGCACGCACGCTCCTTCCATCCTCTGGGATTTGTTTGTGCTTGGCGCCAATGGAATGATGTGTGTGATTGTCGTGTTAGAGCATTGCAGCTTAGTGTTGTCTCATGATAACAAGGCCGACCACATGTAGAATGTAAGATGTTTTCCCGCATATGTATTTATCTGTTGCTGTTGGTTTGTACAACCGTCATAAGGCCTTCGTTGTGCATAGGATGCTCAATAATCAAAATTCTTAGTTCTGTTTTGCACGTAAACTTAGTTTTATGGTAAGATATTAGGGCGTGTGTCCTTGAGGTCGAACGTTTGCCAAAGCTCGAACTTCTAGAAAGGCTGTACACGGTAGGATACAGTTGAGAGTCGTGTCGCCACGGTACAAAGCGGTATTAGGCTCAAACTTTGACAATCTACACCAAAAGACACGCGCCCTTATGGTCGTTCTGGGGCGTCGAAACACCTACAGTCTCGCGTCAGCTAACATCAAGGTTCTCAGATTCCATGGTGCCCCCAGACAGGAGTGGGTCAAGCAGCAGTGATTTCCTACTCATGCTTTCCGTGAACGTCAGGGAGGTCTCTCTCAGCTTGTTGTCGGGTTATCGCTGTGATTCTGCATTTCAGTTGGTAACATCGAGCTCTTGTAGACTCTGATTTGGAGTGTAAGCCGCAGTTTCTTTCTCTTAGCATAACCTACACGCAAGGGAATGCCGAGTTCGCTGCTGGCCTGTCGTATGCGTGTGGAAGGATGCGCCTCAATCCACGTTTTATTCCGGTGGCTTCAAAACCGTCATGAAGACTTATCACCTCACGCATAAAGAGTTCGCAAGGATTTCATGAGTTAATGTCTCAAAAGGAGGTTAACAACAATGATTTCTTTACAGATGAAGAGGTGTGTTTATCCCGGCAAAGGCCTGGTAGCTTCAGCTATTCATCGTCCTTCATTTGTCAAGCTCAATCAGCCTAGCAACGTTTTCAAAGCTCCAGCTCGCCTGCATCAGGAGGGTGTTTATCGTGTCTGTGAAGCCAGGAAGATGAAATACGGCATGGCTGCAGTCGAAGGCAGAGCGACGTCGACGAAATGTAATGCTTCTGACAATAATACTTAGAACGTTATTGTGGAAAACGAAGCAACGAAGACCTCAGCAAGTGATACTGAAGGCCTTCCTATGTTATGACCGTGCTGGTGATCGTGAGCTCTTCCCCGTGGAAGGGTATCCTGGTGTAACTCTTAAGTTTCTCCGTCCTACAACGGCGTGTTTCAAGTTCAAAGCGGGTTTCATAGAGCTAGCTCACCATCACATCCTGACCCACGGCGTATACCTGATTTCAGGTCGCCAGATTGTTCAGAATGTGACCAAAGGAACCACTCTGGAAGTAAACGCAGGAGATTTTCTGTCCACGCCTAGAGACGTTCACCGTGTGCTGTACCTGACAGATGCGGAGCTTTTTGCCAAGTTTGACGGAACAGATGCCATGGCTCTTCCTGAGAATAACAAGATGGAGGTTATTGAGACTGTAGAAGAGGCTCGAGAAGCCTTCGGTGACTATATTCACCTCGTTGGTGAGAATTGAGACCGGTTGGGTACCATCTTGTTGATGCTGCCATGTATTTGACTCATTCCCTCTTGCAGGTGCAAATGGTGTTAACGTATGCTGATGCTGGAGAAAGAATTTGTACATCATTAACGAAATAAATGAGGACTATCTAATCAGCTCAGCATGCAAATTGTGTCCAAATTCCCAAACATGGAAATTCTTTCATTTTCCATGTGGAGATTGAAATGGGCTTTGCATTTAGTTACTGTTCACTTTCAGTCAGGGGCACTATTATTAGCGGAGCGGTCACTCGCAGTATTTGATGAAGGCAGTCCCCCGTTTGGGGGTTTGCGCCTTTCGGCTCCAAAAATTGCGGGTAGGCACAAAGTAGGCGCCCGCCCGACCAATGAGTGCTCATTGATGGGATGTCAGCACGATCCGCCGTCCCATACGGTCATTGGCGAATCATTTCAATCCCCCGACAAGGACGGTAACCTGAATATTTCTCGTTGAGGGAGTTTGTCCTGCGAAAGCTGATTGTGTTGAAGTACGTCGTGGGTTCTTTGTGCTGCTATGTGTACATGTGGCCCGCGCGATTTCACACCAGAAGCATGAACGAGATCGTAATGGATTTGGCGCAAGAGACACAGCAGTTTTGCTTACGCAACATCGGTTCGCGCTTTCGCACTTTTGCTGCTGCTATCGACTTCCGTGCATTCGCAAGAAGCCGTGACTAGTTCAGCTGAATCTTGAAGCCCTTCTTCTTAAAAGACGTTCCCACTAATTCCCGTAGACCTAAGGCTACGCGACGAATTTCTCTCAGTGTCAGGGCAAGCTCACCCTTCCGCGAATTACTGCCAGTCACCGCCATTAGACGACATTTTCACTGATTCCCGTAGTCCTTTAGACCTAAGGCTACGCGGCGAATTTTCTCGTAGTGTCAGTGCAAGCGCAAAGACTCAATGTTATCAAGTTCGCCGTCGGCCTACTGCACGTAGCTACAGCGAAGGATATTGTAGTAGGCTTTGCCGCAACTCCTAAAGCGGTTTCGCTACAGTCACCACTTCACTGCACTTGCAACTAGCTTCGTTGATGCAAAATGTCATTTCTTCCTCTTAACCGACACTCCCACTGATTTCCGTTGACCTAATTTACTCAACTAATATCTCGCTAAGTGTCAGTGCCAGCACACGCAGTTTCGCCAGTCACCGCCAGTTGACGAAACATGCAAGGGGCGGGAGCGGAGGGTCCTCCGGTAGAGCGCGGGGGAGGGGGAGGGGGAAGGGGAGGGCGTGGCGGAGGCTGGGGTAGAGGCGGAGAGGGCATGTCAAAGCGGAAAAAAAGATTGGTGGACCTCACGCCCGAGGAGGTTTGTGCTGAAGCTTGTTATTTGAAAAGTATAAAAAACCGCATCACTATATGAGGTGCCTCAAAGGTGGACCTCCCACCCGAGGGGGTCCGTGCTGAAATGTGTTTCTTGGTGGAGGTGTGGTGTGTGAGATTGCAGCTCTCACCTGTGACTCACGTCACTGTGTGTAACCCGTTAGGTGTTCCTGATATCCTCGTTTTCATGGGCTGGCTGACCAAACTCCTCCTTTTCCTCCGTTGTCTTTCTTTCCCCATCTTTCCCTCTCTTTTCCCCCTGGTCGCCTCCTCTTTGGCGTCCCAACCCCCGTCGCTCCCTCCTTCCTCGTGAAATGAGCCGTGTTTTGATTCGACTCAAAACACGGTCCAAACTCCATTCTCTCCTCCGATGTTTTTCTTTCCCCAACTTTCCCTCTCTTTTCCCCATGGTCGCCTCCTCTTTGGCGTATCACCGACCCCCCGTCGTTCCCTCTTTCTCCCCACAAATCATTCACACGTGACTATCGCCAAATTGATGGCAGAGAGACGCAATTCCTTCTGTCCCTTCATCTGTCCCTGCCTTAACCCACGTCGCTTCCCCTCTCACCCTTCCTTATCCCTCAGATCAACGAAATTGTGGCATTGAGGGGGAAGCTACCACAGGCGGTGGTGGGGAAACGGTTTGGGATAGAGCAGACGGATGTGAGCCAGATTCAGAGACAGCAAAAAGGGAAGCTTATGAGAGCTGATGACAAACCGGTAAGAAGTCAACATTGCTTATGCACTATCACCTTCTGTCTAGCGGTTTGGGATAAAGCAGACGGATGTGAGCCAGATCCAGAGACAGCAGAAGGGGAAGCTCATGAGAGCTGATGACAAACCAGTAAGGGAAGAACGGTATAAGATGATTTATACGTTACAAACTGGTGGCTGGAACCGAACACACACAGGAAAGGCAGATCAAGGGGCTGCTGAAGGGGCGATGTGTGAGTTGTGACAATTAACGGGTGTGCTGAAGGGGCGATGTGTGAGTTGTGACAATAAACGGGTGTGCTGAAGGAATTGCAACACGTTGGCGTAGCAGAACTGATAGTGTAGCTGGACGTTGGGATAGAGTAGCTGGACGTGAGTGTGGTTTTGGAACACGCAAAATGGCCGTTTTGTGATCCTGTCGATAAGTTGGCAAAGAGAGGACAGTATATTTACTCCATCCATTCTATGCTTCTGGGTGGTTTGAGAAAAAGCAGACCAGAACGAAAGGGTAAGCTTATAAGCGTCAACAATATGTTGTTAAGGTATTATTTTCCTTATGTTCCGTATTTTCTTGCCTCCATCTTCTCACACTTCCCTGGTTAAGCCTTTCCCCACTGGAATAGTGCTCTTCCATGTTCGCTGTTTTCCCAGAGCTGACTCAAAAGTCATATTCCCAATCACATTCCTAGTTTTCTCTCTCGTTTCTTCCCCTCGTGCGTGTCCCTTCTTGTAGAGAGCTCGGGACGTGGAGGTGGTGCTGCCTATTGTGTTCGGCAGCTGTGCCTTCTGGCTGGGGAAGAAGGCCGATGAGTGAGTTGCAACCTACCGTTCTATCTTTAAGTCTTTCTCAAGATATATCACTCAGTAACTTCACTGGTCGTACCTTGTGATTGTTCAGCTTGCACAGAATATTTCATCTGGACTCACACTTGTTTGGCATAGTTCCCCTTCTGTATTAAACCTCTCTTCACCACTCTGTCTCCACCACCATCACCACCACTGGATATCCTCTCCGTACAATCCCATCACCAGGAACGCCACACACAAGTGGACAGTGTATGTGCGGGCAGCTGACAATGGCGACCTTGGTAGTGTGGTGAAGAAGGTATGCTGGTGCCAGCCAGAGAGGGCGGTGGGTTGATTAAGATATATGAATCACTGCTATGAATGAGTGAAGGTTGTGCGGGCAGCTGACAATGGCGACCTTGGTAGTGTGGTGAAGAAGGTATGCTGGTGCCAGCCAGAGAGGGCGGTGGGTTGATTAAGATATATGAATCACTGCTATGAATGAGTGAAGGTTTTGCGGGCAGCTGACAATGGCGACCTTGGTAGTGTGGTGAAGAAGGTATGCTGGTGCCAGCCAGAGAGGGCGGTGGGTTGATTAAGATATATGAATCATTGCTATGAATGAGTGAAGGTTGTGCGGGCAGCTGACAATGGCGACCTTGGTAGTATGGTGAAGAAGGTATGCTGGTGACAGAAAGGGCTGTGGAGAAGGTGCGCCCGTGGGCCAGGTAGGCCAGTGTGCATGCACCCAGTCTGCCTCTTCCAGAGAGTTTCTTAACCGAGTATAGCACCTTCCACGCCTTTTCTTCCCAATACCCCAATGACCAGGTGGTGTTTCAGCTGCATCCGAGCTTTTTCCAATCCAATCCGCATTTTTCTTCCCCCACCCTTTTTTCTCCCCAATACCCCAGGTGGTGTTTCAGCTGCATCCGAGCTTCTCCAATCCCTCTCTTATAGTGGAGCGGCCGCCCTTCATGCTGTCGGAGAGCGGCTGGGGCGAGTTTGAGATTCACACCTTTCCCCTCTTTCCGCATGTCGTAAACTCATGCTTCCTCGACCTCCCTCTCCTTCTGCTGTTTTTCCGAAACACACCTCCCTCCTGCTGTCTTTACCCTCCACATCCTCTCCCTACAAATACCCCAATGACCAGGTGGTGTTTCAGCTGCACCCGAGCTTCTCCAATCCGACGCGCATTGTGGAGCGGCCGCCCTTCATGCTGTCGGAGAGTGGCTGGGGCGAGTTTGAGATCGCCATGACCATTGTCTTCCACGCCGATGCTTCTGAAATGCCAGCTGAGCTGTGAGTTAACTTGGGCCAGGTTTTGGTAACAGTTCTGTTTGTAACAACTCCGTCTGATCCACTTTACTTACAGGCTCTAAATGTCTTGTTGCAAAAGTCATTCTTAGGAACATTATACTTGTAAGAATCTCAGCTGTCGGAGATTGGCTGGGCCGAGTTTGAGATCGCCATGACCATTGTCTTTCACGCCGACAGTGAGTAGGCGTGCCGGAAAATACAGTCATTCATCACCATGCCGCCCACCCTCACATGGCCCGAGGAGACTCCACTGCACGTGTTATTTCTTCCAGCACACACACTCTGAATGTGCTGATACGCGGAAAGCAACCCTCGCTCCCATTTTAGGTGTCAAGTTGACTTTTGAGTCGACTCAAAAAGCAACCCTCGCGCCCATTTTAGGTGTCAACATCCAGTTTTGAGAAATTGTCCTGCTTTTTCCTCATCCTTTCCCATCCCTTTCTCTCAACTACTCCCCCCTTCCCCTTCTCCCCCTTACCCACTCCCCCTTTTCCTCCCCCGCCCAGCACCCATCACCTTCGGCTGTACCCAGAAGGCAGCGCTCCGAACCAGCCTCTCAGCACCAAGCGGCCTGTTGTGGCTGAGCAATACGATGAGCTAGTGTTCTGCGAGCCACAGGTACGGGTTAACTTATGGGGATCTAAAATGCAGGTAAGTGGTTTTTTGAACCATGGGTACAGTGGTGGGCAGCAGGTCTTGTTCACATGTGTTTTATCCAGTCATCTCAGATACCGTTCCTTTTATAACTGTGGTTCACAAACTGTGTTTCTGGCAACAACTTTTGTTTGAATTTCTGGTTTTTTTTTTTTTCAGGCGCCTCAAAAGCTATTTCTTGTAACTGTGGCTCACAATTTGTATCTAATAACCACTTTATGCGTGTCTCCAGATCGCGTTCTTCCATCGCATCCGCTCCAACCCCATGGTACGGATTCACGGCAGTGAGGAGGCCATCACCGCCGCTGGCAACCACGCAGCGATACCACAAGGTAGAGATCACAATCTCAAATGCTTACACGACTGACTAATGTCCAGGAAAAAAATATATTTGGATGTTTCATGCTTGAGCCCTTTTCTTTTCAGTGAATTTCTAAACATCTGGAGGTTGTGGCTTGTGACAGAATTTGAGACTTTCCCTGCTTTAATTCATAATCCACTTTTTTCTGCGCATCTTTGTGCAGATGGCTCCAGTTCGGCCCCTGCAGATGCACGTAACTTGGAATCAGATTTGCGAGGAGAGAATAGAGGGGACACTCTAGACCATCCGTTGTCGCAGTGGTTTCTGCAGTTCTCAGACGAACAAGAGCTGACTGCCATAGCTGCTGCAAGGAAGCAGGTAATCCTGTCATCAGACGTTTCTGCCATATTGGAAATGCTCAAGGGCTACCTGCCACGTGCTGCTGCCATGAAGCAGTTGGGGGTGAAGTGCACTGGCTTCGGGGACAGCTCAGCAGTAACCTTGTTACAAACCAACACATCACATAGCACTTCTATTCCATGTTATTTATGCAGTCGCATTGACTCTATTCCTTTTCACTTGCATCTGTCTGTGTGTGTGGGCAGGTTGCCACACTGACGGCCAAGTTAGAAGCTGAATATGCCTCTCTTGAATCTGAGTGTCAAGAACTTAAGCAAGGCTCTAGTCAACCAGGCTGATGTGAGCGTTTGTGCCTGGCAGAGGCTTACGTTCACTTGTATAAAGGTTCTATTGTGTACAACCAGTGGAGGATGCCTGATCCAGTCAAGTTATTAGTTCATGTCAGCTCTTAAAAACCTTTCTTATCATTCTTAAATGAAGGTAGGAATCATTCTTATCCATTGGTTTGAGAGAGTTTTGAGATTGTTACAGTGACGAAGTCCGCCAGAGATTCACAAATTTCAGTGGGATCTGCCACTCAAACCGAGGCCACCAGGTTTCCCTTCGGTTTTCGCACATCCCGCGCGCATCTTTCCAGGCTTGGTGCGCTGGCGCTGGTGCCCTCGAGGTTGGCGGGTTTGACCACGCGCACATCCCGATGGTTCATTGCACAACCCAACGCTAGGAGTAGCCGTTGGATGCGATGACTTCACCCGGCCAATCCCAAGGTACGACGTGAGCTGCATTCCCTGACACAGATGTTTCAGGCGACCTGCCATAGTGCAGGCGGAGGGGAGGTTGGCAGGAAATCCATTCATCATCAAAATTTGCATCCTTCACAGATTCGTGAAGTCCTTGGTGGTTTGTGTGTTCTAGGGTGGCTCAGAGGCTTTGCTATGGATTGGTCTCGTCAGGCTCCGTAGATTTTCTTAGCCTGAACAAGGTCGGCTCGATGCTTGATCGGCACACTGCTTTCGTGCTGTCGCGGATCTCGTTCACTAACCTAAAATCAATCTCGGTTTCAGATCAGTTGCTATCAGGCATCACGATTCCCGCCGACCTCGTGTTTCTGTCACATTGCTAGGTGTATATCTGTTCCCCTCTCGCCTGGTACCGTGACTAATCGCCTTACACCATGGCGACGCCACAGCCACCGCAGACTGAACCCGGTCGGCTGGCCAAGCTAGTCGTCCCCACACTTGAGAAAATCATCAAGAACGCGTCATGGCGGAAACACCAGAGGCTCGTACAAGACTGCAAGGGCCTGATAGAATGGTTCGCGAAGAATCCCAACCCAGGCGTGGAATGGCAACCTCCGGCTCAGGACCCGCCTGGCTACGTCAATCCCTTTGACGAATCCGCTTCACGGGGAGGATCTTCTGGCGCAGCGTTTCCGGCTGGATTGTTCGACGATGGTAACCGGGTGTTGAAGATTAAGGATGCGGAGTTTATCATGGCGCCGCTTCATACGGCGTGCGAGACGCTCGCGGCGAAGGTGGTCGAGCCGACGCTGGATTGCCTCCAGAAGATGGTTGCGCATCAGCATTTGAGGGGAGAGATGGACGTTGGAGGGACCACGCGTGAAAGCAAGCTGCTGACGCGGGTACGTTGCTTAAGAGAGAACAGGAAGTAGACGGGAGGTGAGCAGGAAGGTAAGGTTCCTTGCAAGGTAGCTTCTGATGGAGTAATGTCACAATGGAGAGTATCGATCGCAGATCGTGAGGGAGTATTTACACTAGACTAATGAGGTGCTCACCTCGAATTGATGCGGACATCTGCGATGGCTGTAAATCTGGCGAGATCACACAAGCTTCATCGCGAATTCCCTATCTGTGCGCTCTGAATGCATACATTCATGAATGGTTGAATGTGTCCGTTCCTTCGTGTGCAGGTCATGGAATCCGTGTGCAAGTGCTACGATATAGCAGACGAAGCAGTGGAGCTACTAGTCCTGAAGACTATGCTATCTGCTGTCACATCCACCTCCCTCCGCGTTCACGGCGAGTGCGTACTTAAGGCTGTCCGCACCTGCTACAACATTTACCTCGGTAGTAAGGTCCCCGTTAATCAAACCACAGCCAAGGCGTCCCTCACGCAGATGCTCGTTATAGTATTTCGGAGGATGGAAGCGGATTCGTCGACAGTTCCGGTTCAGCCAATCGTGGTCGCGGATTTAATGGAGCCCTCGGATAGGCTAGCGTCGGACCAGAATGTAACGCAGTTCGTTCAGTCGTTCATTACCAAGGTAGTGCAGGATATCGAGGTCGCTTTTAACCCGGCGCATACTCAATCTCTCGACGATGGCGCGTTTGATCTCGCAGTAGCACCCATCAACTCGGCAGCCACCGACGGAAGCCTAGTCGAAGATAAGGATATGCTAGACGTTAAGTACTGGGACGTGAACATGCTTGCAGGTTCAGTTACCGACCCAGCCAAGACTTTAGGCGGAGACGGGAAAGTAGTAACCGTGAAAGCCGGCGCGACTGCCGCTATAGGGCTTCCGCCAGGCGCCGTGGCCACTGTTCCTGTTGGTTCTAGCGCAAATGGCGCCGGAAATCCCGTGGGAACCATGGCGGGAGGCGGAGTGATCATTCCTGACGTGGATCCGGAGAAGGAGGGCGAGGCGGAGGTGAAGATAACGAACAAGCTGCGGCGCGATGCGTTCCTGGTGTTCCGCGCGCTGTGCAAGCTGTCTATGAAGGCTCCCCCGGCGGAGGGGGTGGTGGATCCGTTCGCTGTGCGCGGCAAGGTGGTCTCGCTGGAGCTGCTGAAAATCTGCCTTGAGAATTCTGGCGCTGTCTTTCGCACCAACGAGAGGTGAGCCATGTTGGGTACAAAGGGAGGCTCGTACTTTTCCCAAAGCCATTTATCGCATCTTCCGAGAGATAAGTTGAATGTGGCGTTTTTCGAATGAGAGTTCAAATAGGGGTGGCATTGAAAACGAGAAGGAATCCTCCCACACAACCCCCCCATCATCTTTGTCCCCTGCTGTCACACCTTTGCGACAAGTCTGAAGGGGCAGTGAGGAAGTGCCCGTGGCAGGCATGTTATGATGCAACTGAACACCCCAACCCCACTGTTCAAGTTTACGCGTCACGTGCTCTTGCCCCTCAACCCTTCCCCTCAACCCCCTCGTTCACGCTCGGCTCCCGCTTTCAATCCCTCCCTTCCACCAGGTTCGTGGGCGCAGTGAAGCAGTACCTGTGCCTGTCGCTGCTCAAGAACTGCACGTCTTCGCTCATGTCCGTCTTCCAGCTCTCCTGCTCCATCTTCTTCTCCCTCCTCACGCGCTTCCGCTCCGTCCTCAAGGCCGAAATCGGCGTCTTCTTCCCCATGATCGTGCTGCGCGTGCTGGAAAACGTTGCCCACGCCAATTTCCAGCAGAAGATGATCGTGCTGAGGTTCCTGGAGAGGCTCTGCGTGGATCCGCAGATTCTGGTGGATATCTTTGCCAACTATGACTGCGACGTGGAGTCCACTGTCAGCATCTTCGAACGGTGAGCTGGGTAGAAGCAGATTAAGGGTAGAATCGAATTCAACGTAGATTCAGAGTCGCCTAGCCCCTCATTCCTCCATTCCCTCCTCCCGTGTTGCATCCCCCATCAGCAATGATCCTCCTCACACATCTCGTGCACTCGAGCTCCCATCAACTACTCCCTTCTTTTTCATCTTCATCCCCCACCCTCTCTTGTACGGTTCAACCTTCTCCCAGGATGGTGAGCGGGCTGCTCAAGACAGCACAGGGAGTTCCGCCCGGCGCGGACTCAACGCTGAACGCGGCCCAGGACCAGCAGCTGCGCCTGGCCGCCATCAAGTGCATGGTGGGGGTGCTGCGCTCCATGGGCTCCTGGACCAACCGCCAGCTCTGCGTCACCGCAGGCCCCAAGGTCGCCGCGGAAATCGGCGCTGCTGCTGCAGCGGCAGCCGCGTCGGCAGCGGCAACAGCAGCAGCGGCTGCGGCGGCGGCGGCAGGGGAAGGGGCGGCTCCTGTGGCTGTTCCGGATCTTCTGTCAGGGGATCTGCTGCCGGATTTTGTGAATCCCAGGACTGGGGTGTTGCCTGTTGCGAAGTCAGAGGAGGCTTTGGAGGAGGAGGCGCTTGGGGGGATGCCTGCGGCTGGGGTGAGCAGTGGAAATGAGATTTCAGAGGCTTCAATTCTGGAGCAGAGGCGGGCTTATAAGCTGGAGCTGCAGGAGGGGATAAACCTGTTCAACAAGAAGCCAAAAAAGGGGATAGATTTTCTGATCAAGGCGAAGAAACTGGGCGAGGGTGCGGAGGAGATAGTTGCGTTTCTGCGCAAAACAGAGGGGCTGGATAAGACCATGATTGGAGATTTCCTAGGGGACAGGGACGACATGAGCATCAAGATCATGCATGCCTACATGGACTCATACAACCTCTCTGTAAGTGGCATAAACGGCATCTTTTCCCAAACAGTAGGTTGCACTCTGCTAGTGGGAGTGTGGGATGCATTAAGGTCATATGCAGGTGCGCGATACATTCAACATGAAGATGTGTAAACTCTCCTCTCCTCTCTCTCCTCTCCCTTCTCCCCTCTCTCCTCTCCCCTCTCCCTTCTCCACTCTCCCCTCTCTCCTCTCCCCTCTCCCTTCTCCCCTCTCCCCTCTCCCCTCTCCCCTCTCCCCTCTCCCCTCTCCCCTCTCTCCTCTCCCTTCTCCCCTCTCTCCTCTCCCCTCTCCCCTCTCCCCTGTCCCCTGTCCCCTCCCTCTGCCGTCTACCCCAATTACCCCCATTGCCTCGCCAGGGAATGGACTTTGACGAGGCCATTCGAGCAGTGCTGCTGGGGTTCAGGCTGCCAGGCGAGGCGCAGAAGATTGATCGCATCATGGAGAAGTTTGCTGAGCGCTACTGCCCTCTAGGCTTTGACAAGGCTCACTGGTGGCTATGCTGCTGGGCTGCAGTCATCTCAAGTGCCACTCACTAACACCTCCCTCTCCCCTCTCCCATTTCCTCCCTCCAACACTTACCCCCACTCCCCTTTCCCCCAGGGAATGGACTTTGACGAGGCCATTCGAGCAGTGCTGCTGGGGTTCAGGCTGCCAGGCGAGGCGCAGAAGATTGATCGCATCATGGAGAAGTTTGCTGAGCGCTACTGCCGCTGCAACCCCAAGGCGTTCACCAGCGCCGATACTGCCTACGTGCTCGCTTACTCTGTGATTATGCTCAACACGGATGCGCATAACCCTGGCGTCAAGACCAAGGTGAGAGCATGTGATGATATGATCGATGTAGCCCCTCAAAAAGCTGTCACAGAGGCGGATACGGCGTTACTGCTTGCTTAGTCTCTCGCACTCAAGCTTCATGCTCAACACAGACGCACCCAACACAACCCAGGCGTCCTTCTCTTCCACCCTCCCTTCCCTTCCACGCCTCCTCCTCTTCCATGCACCCCCTTCCCACCCATACATCCTGCTTCCTCCCTTCCCAGATGAGTAAAGCCGACTTCCTGAAGAACAACCGTGGAATCGACGACGGGAAGGACATACCAGAGGAGTTTCTGGGCGGGCTGTACGACCGCATCACACGGAACGAGATCAAGATGAAGCCGGAGATCCTGGGGCCCGGAGGAGTGGTGTCCAAGGCTGCAGTGAGCAGTGCGGCGGGCAACGCGCTGCTGGGGCTGGAGAGCATTCTGAACCTCATGTCGGGACGCACGAGGGCCACCACGGAGCTGGAGACAAGTGATGAGGTGGTGAAGCACATGCAGGAGCAGTTCCGTGCCAAGGCGGGCAAGTCAGGGTGAGCAGCAATGGGGGAAGGTCAGGGTGAGCGGCAGTGTGGGAAGGTCAGGGTGAGCTCAGTAAGAGGGGGGAATCAGGTCAGGGCAAGTGGTGCTCAAAGGCTGCAGCAGTGAGCAGCGCAGCGGGCAACGCGCTGCTGGGGCCGGAGAGCATTCTGAACCTCATGTCGGGACGCACGAGAGCCACCACGGAGCTGGAGACGAGTGATGAGGTGGTGAAGCACATGCAGGAGCAGTTCCGTGCCAAGGCGGGCAAGTCAGGGTGAGCGTCAGTGTGTGAAGGTCAGTAGGTAAGCGTGGGTATGTTTCCAGCAGCAGCAAGGTTGGGAGACGAGCGACGAGGTGGTGAAGCACATGCAGCAGCAGTTCCTTGCCAAGGCGGGCAAGTCAGGGTGAGCAACAATGGGGAGCAGTCAGGGTGAGCAGCCACTGGAGGAGGTCATGGTGAGCAGCAATACGGGGATACCTGAATGCAGTTTTCACTTTTTTTCTTGCTTCACCTCTCCATCCTGCATCTCAGCCCCCGACAAGCATCCCTCCTGCTTCGTTGTGCCCTCCCTTATCTAGAATTTTCCAGATCGGTGTTCTATGCTGCCTCAGACGTGCAGATCATCCGCCCCATGGTCGACGTGGTGTGGGCGCCCATGCTAGCAACAGTGTCATTCATCTGTGCACGTTTCCTCGCCCTTCTCCCTTGACTTGCCCACCCTCTCCCTCAGGTCGGTGTTTTACGCCGCCTCAGACGTGCAGATCATCCGCCCCATGGTTGACGTGGTGTGGGCGCCCATGCTAGCCGCGTTCTCCGTGCCCCTGGAGACCACGGAGGAGGATGCTGTCACGGAGCAGTGCCTGGAGGGGTTCCGATACGCCGTGCACGTCACTGCTGTGATCGGCATGCACGTAAGTGACATGTGAGGGAAGGGATGGTGAGAGTCATGTGGTATGGGCATGCATGGATGAGGAGGCTGTCACGGAGCAGTGCCTGGAGGGGTTCCGATACGCCGTGCATGTCACTGCTGTGATCGGCATGCAGGTGAGGGGCATGTGCGGGGGAATGTGAGGGAAGGGATGCTATGGGGCATGTGCGGGGGAATGTGAGGGAAGGGATGCTATGGGGCATGTGGCACGGGCATGCGGTGACGAGTGAGGAGGCTGCGACAGAGCAGTCAGATCCTGGAGGGGCACGCCGTGCATGTCTCTGCTGTTCTCGGCATGCACGTGAGGGTCACTTGAGGGGCCATATGAGCAGCATGTGAGGGATAGTGTGTTAGGCTGGGCCATGTGAGGGGCATTGGACTTGTGGGGGTGTGGCAAAGCACACCTTGTGCATGTGGGGACAGTATGAAATTTAACTTGTGAGTCAACTGAAAGGTCTCCTATCTACTCCTCATCAACCTCCTTTCCTTTTTTTCACCGCCTTTCTGCCTGCCCCACCAGATGCAACGCGATGCGTTTGTGACGTCGCTGGCCAAGTTCACGTCGCTGCACTCCGCAGCAGACATCAAGCAGAAGAACGTGGACGCCATCAAGGTGCGTGATGGGTGGATGTGTATCAGGTGGGTGGGTGAGGTGAGTGGGTGGGTGGACGGTTGGGTGAGTGGGCTTGGTCAAGTGTAATATGAGCAGACCTGCGTTGTACATATGCAAATTTCAGCAGACCTCAAGCAGAAGAATTTGGACGCCATCAAGGTGGGGGTGGATGGGTGGGTGTGTCACCTCCAACCACCCCATTCACCTCCCGCTTTCCGCCGCATCTTTTCCCCCTCGCCCTTCCCCCTTTGCGCTCCTCCCCCGACCCATTCCCCTACACCCAGTCTCTCCTGCTGGTAGCAGAGGACGATGGCAACTACCTGCAGGACGCGTGGGAGCACGTGCTCACGTGCGTGTCGCGCTACGAGCACCTCCACCTCATCGGCGAGGGCGCCCCCACCGACTCCCACTTCTTCTCCGCCGCGCCGCAGCTCCCCACTCTCTCAAACACCACCCTCCCCCAACCTTCGCCCTCTCATCCCTTCCACTGTCGTCCCTCCCCTTTCTGCACTCCCACCCACACTCATTCCCCTCCATACAGAGCCTGCTGCTGGTAGCAGAGGACGATGGCAACTACCTGCAGGATGCGTGGGAGCTTGGCTCACGTGTGTGTCATGCTACGAGCACCTCCACCTCATCGGCGAGGGCGCCCCCACCGACTCCCACTTCTTCTCTGCCGAGCTGCAGCTCCCCACTCTCTCAAACACCACCCTCCCCCAACCTTCGCCCTCTCATCCCTTCCACTTCGTCCCTCCCCTTTCTGCACTCCTTCCCAACCCCCCACCCACACTCATTCCCCTCCATACAGAGCCTGCTGCTAGTAGCGGAGGACGATGGCAACTACCTGCAGGACGCGTGGGAGCACGTGCTCACGTGCGTGTCGCGCTACGAGCACCTCCACCTCATCGGCGAGGGCGCCCCCACCGACTCCCACTTCTTCTCCGCCGCGCCGCAGCTCCCCCCGCTCACCCAGCAGCAGCGCCCGCAGCCGCTGGATCCCCAGGGGAAGAGGGGCGGAGGGAGGGGGGTGGCAGCGTCGGTGTATGGGGGCGGGGAGGGGCGTGGGGTGGTTGGGGGGGGGCAGAGGGATGCTGGGACGCCGCGGGGGAGTGCGGGGGACGCTGGGACGCCGCGGGGGCAGGCAAAGAGGTTTGGCGAGGGAGGCGAGGCTCCTGCCTGGAAGAATGTGAGTGGAAGTGAATCGCAACATGAGTTTCCTGCATGACTCGCAATGTGTGTGCCCTGTTTATGGCTTTTGGGGCGCTTAAAAATCGTGCGATGTGTGTGCCCTGTTTATGTGACGTGGTCTCCCCCCGCTCCCTGCTTGCCTGCCCTCTCCCTCCCTCCCCTCCTTTTTAATGCCCCCAGGTAACTGGGAAGCTGCACCAGGTGGAGAAGCTAGTGAGGCGAGGGTCATACGACCCACAGGGGATGATCGCCGGAGGACCCACAGGGGTGGGCGTGGGCGTGTCCCTCTCGCACCTCTCCCCCGACCAGGTCAGTGCTTTTAGAGAGAAGCCAGATGGGGCTAGTCCGTGGGAGATGTATGTTGCATTCACAGGGGTGGGAAGATGGGAACAGATGAATTTCTCTTTCGTGTCGCTCCCTCAGTCAGTCCCCTGTGCTGCCAGATAGCAGGGCTACAGTGCCTTGAGATACGGCACGAACTGTTTCCCCCTCTCAATACTCCTGCCAGATAGCAGTGATAGAAATGGAGCTGAACTGATTGATTACAATAGAAGGCACTAGGCCTTTAAGCACAAAGATGGTTGAGTTGAGCAAAGCTAGGGAAAGGATGGGATGGGAATTCCAAGCAAATTTTCAATGGTGAGTTAGCAGACTTGTTGGATTACGAGGGAATCTTAACCAGATAGGGTTGGGATTACAAATCTACACCCAACCCACAAATGACCTACAGCATATAAAATAGAGTACACAAAGTGTTGACAGCCTATTTCTAACAAGTAGGGCCTACAGGGATAGATTATGTGAGATGCCATATGCCCCCTTCTCTGTCCCCAATTCTTCTTTCCTCATTTCCCCTCCGGTCCTTTGAATCACAGGTGCAGCTGTTGGTCCCTATCCTAGGCCTACTGGAGCAGGTGGGGTCAAACGAGGTTGCTTTCTCTCTCTGGCAATATATGCATCTTTCTAGCGTCACTCCCTCTTCCCACACTCCCCCTCCCCCCCTACTCTCTGAATCACAGGTGCAGCTGCTGGTGGCTAACCTGTGTCTGCTGGAGCAAGCGGGTCGGACGAGGTCTCTCTATCTAACCTTGTGTTCCCTATCCCAACTCCATTCCCCTTTGCAACATTCCCGTCCATCTTTGTGAATCACAGGTCCAGCTGCTGGTGGCTAACCTGGGTCTGCTGGAGCCGGTGGGGTCAGACGAGGTCTCTCTCTAAACATGTGTCCCTTTTCCCAACCCCGCTCCACCTTCTCTCGTGTCCCCGTTTTATCACTTGCACCACTACAGGTGCAGCTGCTGGTGGCTAACCTGTGTCTGCTGGAGCAGGTGGGGTCGGATGAGATCAGGCCTCTCTATTGAACCATGTGTCCACATCCTAACTTCGTTCCCCCTTCCAACATTCCTCTTCATCACGTGCACAACTACAGGTGCAGCTGCTGGTGGCTAACCTGTGTCTGCTGGAGCAGGTGGGGTCGGATGAGATCAGGCCTCTCTATTGAACCATGTGTCCACATCCCAAATTCGTTCCCCCTTCCAACATTCCTCTTCATCACGTGCACAACTACAGGTGCAGCTGCTGGTGGCTAACCTGTGTCTGCTGGAGCAGGTGGGGTCGGATGAGATCAGGCCTCTCTATTGAACCATGTGTCCACATCCTAACTTCGTTCCCCCTTCCAACATTCCTGTTCATCACCTGCACAACTACAGGTGCAGCTGCTGGTGGCTAACCTGGGTCTGCTGGAGCAGGTGGGATCGGACGAGGTATCGCGACTCTTCTCCCGCAGCGAGCGCCTCAACGGGCAGGCGATCGTGGAGTTCGTGAAAGCCCTCTGCAAGGTTTCTCTGGAGGAGCTGCGCTCGCCCACGGAGCCCAGAGTCTTCTCTCTGACCAAGATCGTCGAGATTGCGTAAGCTTCCCCCCCCCCCCCCCCCCCCCCCCCCCCCCCTTGAATGCACCTTAGAAGAGACAATACCTCAACGGGCAGGAGATAGTGGAGTTCGTGAAAGCCCTCTGCAAGGTGTCTCTGGAGGAGCTGCGCTCGCCCACGGAACCGAGAGTCTTCTCCCTGACCAAGATTGTCGAGATTGCGTAAGCTTTCCCCGCCTTGAATGCACCTTAGAAGAGACAATACCTCAATCGGCAGGCGATAGACAGCCTGCGCCAGCTCGCGATGAAGTTCCTCGAGCGAGAGGAGCTGAGCAACTACAACTTCCAGAACGAGTTCCCTTAGCCCCCACCCCACCCCACCCCACCCCACCCCACCCCCACCCCACCCCACCCCCACCCCCACCCCCGCCTCCCTCCCAATTTCTCGCTCCTTGTTCCCCGATGCAGCCACTTCAACATGAGCCGCATTCGGCTCGTCTGGTCGCGAATCTGGGCTGTGCTGGCAGACTACTTCGTGACGGTGGGATGCATGCCCAACCTCTCAGTGGCCATGTATGCCATTGACAGCCTGCGCCAGCTGGCCATGAAGTTCCTGGAGCGCGAGGAGCTGAGCAACTACAACTTCCAGAACGAGTTCCTCAAGCCGTTTGTGGTTGTGATGAGGCGCACTGCGAGCGTGGAGATCCGGGAGCTGATTATTCGCTGCGTGTCGCAGATGGTGTTTGCGCGCGTGGGGAACGTCAAGTCCGGCTGGAAAATCATGTTCATGGTGAGTCGGAAAGGGGGTGGATAGAGGGGACAGGGAAAAACCGAGTTTTGAGTTGGCTCAGATGGTGGTTTCCTGCGTGGGGATGTTAAGTCAAGGTGGAGAATCATGTTCATAGTGAGTCAAGGGGGAGGGGAACAGGGGAGAGGAGTCATAACAGTGGCTTTTGAGTCGACTTGAAGCTGTTTGTGGTGGTGATGCGACGGACAGCCAGCATGAGGATTCGCGAAAGGGGCAGGGAAGGGGATTCTGCAGCTTGTGTTAGATTATAGCATCAGTTGGGTTGTAAATGTGCAAGTGTAACACCCAAACGTGGGTGTACACTTTGGGCCAAGGCGACCCAACCAGTTTTGGTTGGGTGCACCCCAACCCCACTCAACCGCAATTGGCGGGGGAACCAACATTGGTTGGTTCGTTCCAACCATTATTGCCCCCCCCCCCCCCAATAATTGGCGGTCACCTCCAAAACATTATTGGTGGCCACTCCCATTGGCTCACCAATAATGTCGCGGGTACCCAACCTAGTTTCCCATACTTTTCATCTCCTATATGTACCCACAATCTTTCGATTCAAACCAACACTTTTGTTTCTAACAGCTTGTATGGATGGATGCTGAATGTGGTGGGGCGGGTTGGGGAGGCTAGGGTGAGGGTTGATTGTAAAGCTTTGGTGGAAAATCAGGTTTAGAATGATGAAATGAGCATCGGCTCCTTGAGATGTTCCACAGCTAGTGATGCGATATTTGAGGCACCTCAACAATCGCCACACTACACACAGGTTTAGATTGATGAAATGGGCATTGGTTCCTTGAGATGTCTCACAGCTTGATGTCCTTATCCCTTCCTCACGCTCCTCCTCTCCCCATTCAGGAGTTCAACACAGCAGCCACCGATGACAACTAGAACATTGTCCTTCTCGCATTCGAGACAATCAAAAAGGTCGTGCGAGGGTACTATCCCTACTTTTTGACATCTTACCACTTATCTACTCTCCCCCCTCCTCTCCACCGTCTGTCTCCCCATTCAGGTGTTCACCACAGCAGCAACGGACGACAACAAGAACATCGTCCTCCTCGCATTCGAGACAATAGAGAAGGTCGTGTGGGAGTACTTCCCCAACATCTTTGTACCTTTCTTACTGTTGTTCTACTCTCTCCCCTTCTCGCGCCCGTCTGTCTCCCCATTCAGGTGTTCACCACAGCAGCAACCGACGACAATAAGAACATCGTCCTTCTCGCTTTCGAGACAATTGAGAAGGTTGTGCGGGAGTACTTCCCCTACATCACCACATCTTACAACTGTTCTACTCTCCCCCCTCCTCGTGTCGCCACCTTCCCTAACTACAGGTGTTCACCACAGCAGCCACGGACGACAACAAGAACATCGTCCTTCTCGCCTTCGAGACAATTGAGAAGGTCGTGCGGGAGTACTTCCCCTACATCACCGAAACCGAGACCACCACCTTCACCGACTGCGTCAACTGCCTCATTGCGTTCACCAACTCGCGCTTCAATAAAGACGTCTCCCTTAACGCCATAGCCTTCCTGCGATTCTGCGCACTGAAACTCGCCGAGGGGGATCTGGGGGCGAGTGCACTGGAGAGGGAGAAGGGGCTGAGTCCCTCTCAGGTGTCACACCTGCCGGGGCACCCGGATGGGGAGGAGTTTACCGACAAAGATGATCACCTCTACTTCTGGTTCCCGCTACTTGCTGGTGAGTGCGTGTTTTGTTGAGTAGATTGGGATTGTGTGGTGTGTACGTTGGTGGGGAGATGAGTTTTGAGTCAACTCAAAACGCACTTGATGGGGGATCTGGGGGCGAGTGCACTGGAGAGGGAGTATGGGCTGAGTTCCTCGAAGGTGTCGCACCTGCCAGGGCATCTGGATGGGGAGGAGTTTACCGATAAGGACGATCACCTCTTCTTCTGGTTTCCCTCTTCTTGCTGGTGAGTGCCTACTGAGTCGACTCCAAGAGCACAGGGGGGTCTCTGTGAGGAAAAAGCGCAGTTGATCTAAAGAACACCTGCCAGGGAATTCGGCTAGGGAAGGGTTTTTTTTGACAAGGACGTTCACCTTTTCTTTTGGATCAACCTCCTTGCTGGTGAGTGGTTACCTATTGAGTAAATTCGGAATGCGTTGTGTGACCTTGGTGAGGCGATGAATTCCGCCCCTCGTTCCTTCACTCCCTCGCTCCATCGTTCCCCCCCCCTCTCCTCTTATCCACCATCGGGTCTGTCCGAGCGCACCTTTGATCCCTGGCCTGGCAGGCATTGGAAAGAGTGCCCGGGAGGTACTTTTAGCATGCCTCACAATAACTTCCTTCCCACCTTCCCGCCTCTTTTTGCCCCCTCCTTTTCCCCCTACTCACCATCAGGTCTGTCCGAGCTGACCTTTGACCCGCGGCCAGACATCCGCAAGAGTGCCTTAGAGGTCCTCTTCGACACCCTCCGCTTCCACGGCCACATGTTCTCCGCCGCCCTCTGGGAGCGCGTCTTCGAGTCCGTCCTCTTCCCCATCTTTGATTATGTTCGCCGGGCCTCCGAACCCCAGCACGGCGAGCCCGGTGGGATGATGCTCGGAGCCAAGAGAGGAGGCAGGGGAGGAGGAGGAGGGGAAGGAGGAGGAGGAGGTAAAGGAGGGAAGGGAGAGGCGGGAGGGGTGCTTGGAGGAGGGAGAGGGGGAGAGGGAGCAGGAGGAGGAGTGGACGTGCCGATTCACAAGCACTCGCATCACAAGGGCGCGCCGCTCTCCCGCCACCCGTCCACGTCAGAAGACGAGCGGCTCCGGGCGGCGAGAAGCGGCAGTCCCGATCCGGCATCCGAACTCGAGATGGATGCATGGCTGTATGAAACCTGCACTTTAGCGCTTCAGCTCGTAGTGGATCTCTTTGTGAAGTTTTACAGTAAAGTGAGCCCGCTTCTAGGGAAGATTCTCGCGCTCCTGACGTCATTTATTCGCCGGCCGCACCAGAGCCTAGCAGCGATTGGCGTGGCGGCGTTTGTGAGGCTCATGAGCAACGCTGGAGGTCTGTTTTCCGAGGAGAAGTGGGATGAGGTGCTGACAGCACTTAAGGAAACAACAGGGACGACCCTTCCTGACCTGGCTGGGGTGGTGAAGGCTGCAGATTTGGAGGACGAGGAGGAGAGGGAGATGGAGCGGCAGCAGCAGATTAAGGAAGCCAGGAGGAGCAGAAGCAGCAGCATCAACAGCTGGCTGCAGCGGTTGCAGAGGCAGTCGGTGCTGCTGCAGGTGGTGGTGGTGTGGATGGGGGAGAGGAGGAGGGAGTGGAAGTTAAGAGGCCGATGACCTTGGCAGAAGCTGTGGCGGATGTGCGGTGCAAGATTGCAGTGCAGCTGTTGCTGGTGCAGGTGAGCTCTCTGTTTATCAGGTGCTGCTGCTGGTGCAGGTGAGCACGTTGCATACTGTGCACTGTGTGTAGGTGAGTCTTTTGATTACTGTGTGCCACTGCTGTCACTTTTGAGACGTCTCAAAACACTACTTCAAACACGTGGCTGCTCGTGCAAGTAAGCTCTCTGCATACTGTGTGTAGGTAAGCCTTTTAATTACTGTGTGCCACTGCTGTCACTCAGGCTGCTGCCTTGAAGAATGCATATGCAAACCATTCCTTAGCTCCCACCTTCGATTCTCCCCCCCCATCTCGTTTTCCCCCACCACTCCCCAACAACCATCCAGGCAATGACGGAGATATTCAGCATGCACGGAGCGGCCCTCTCCGCCCCGCACACCCTCATCCTCCTCGACTCGCTCCACCGAGTCGGCACGCACGCCCACGCCATCAACTCAGACCGCCTGCTGCGCTCGCGCCTGCAAGCCCTCCACCTGGCGACGCAGATGCCCGATCCGCCGCTGCTGAGGCTAGAGAGTGAGGCCCTCCATGCGTACCTCAGCTTGTTGCAGCGCCTGCCACGGGAGAAGGCGCAGCTGGCCAAGGAAGTGGATGTGGAGCTCCGGCTGGTGATTCTCTGTGAAGAGGTTCTCCGGGTGAGTGCTCCGGCTTGTCATCCCCTGCAAAAAAGGTTCTCCGGGTACATGCTTCCTTGTTTCTTTCTCCAGAAGGGTGGTATCATTTTATGCGGGGAAGGTAGGTTAGAGAGTGAGGCACTGCACGCGTACCTCAGCCTGCTGCAGCGCCTGCCACGGGAGAAAGCTCGGCTAGCCAAGGAGGTGAGCTCAGGCTCGTCATCCTCTGTGAAGAAGTCCTTCGTGTACGTTCCTCTCTCTCCTTCTCTCCTTTCTCTTCCTTAGGGGGTTGTTCTGTGCGTAGTATGTAGGTAGACTCCATGCCTGCAAGCACTCCATGTGGCCACTCAGATGCCCGATCCGCTGCTGCTGAGGCTGGAGAGTGAGGCACTGGAGTCTCAGGTACCCATTTCCCTCCCTTCTTCCCCGCCTCTCCCCCCCTCCCATTCCGCCCTCTCCTCCTCCCCCTGTTGCCTTCCTTCCCCCATCGACACTGTTCATGTTCACTTTGAGGACTAATCCCAGCGTGTCTCCTATCCAATGATCCCCCTTCCCCCCCTCTGTTTTCACCCTATCTCCCTTCACTCTCCAGGTGTATGTGGGAACGTCTCAGGGCAAGCTCGCACTCATGACTGAAGACCCAAGAGGTGCAGACGCCCCGCCCCTCCCTCCCATACCTCTCGCCGTACCTCTCGGCTCGGCTCGGCGTCGGGAGCTGGTGGCTCGGGCGCCGCTGGTGGTGGCTACACTTCAGGCGGTTACTGCATTGAAGGACGCAGCGTTTAAGAAGCACCTGGCGCGATTCTTCCCGTTGCTGGCGGATTTGGTAAGCAGCGAGCATGGATCGCCAGAGATTCAGGTTGCTTTGAGCAAGATGTTTTCGTCAAGGATTGGCCCCATTGTTTTCTCTGTAGCCGAGTGAATTTTCTGGATATAGCATACGGTATTGTCTGAATATGTTTATCGCAATTGACAGACATACACGGTACTGCCCATGTTAGCTACGTACCAACCAGAAAGGAGGCCTCTATATGGAAATTGCGAAGTGCAGTTTTGATTTAGTGCTTATCGAATTGGTGCATCTAAAGATATACAAGATTTATAACTTTTTAAACAATATAGAGGGCATGATTTAAATTTCTCATACAGGTAACGTGATCACAAAGTTTGTACAAGTCCGCTCCACGGAAACGGAGGACAAGCGCTAACGCGGTACTGTTTAATGAATATAAAACAGCCACCTTAAAGGCCACACCCCAAATTACACAACGAAGTCAATGAAAAAATTGTAGGTTCGGAAAACCCCAAAAGGAGGTTCGGTGGGAAAATCGAGAACCAATTGCGTCAAAAACCCGCTCAAAACCTTCGACCAATCACGTGAAAGTTGTGACAGTTTTCGGGCCGACACGGTAATTCTGGATGTGTCCTTTAACCTTTTTCGTCTAGAAGGAACCCACCTATAACAACACAACTCCGATACAAATCAGACACACTTGAAGCAGAAACCCCGTTTCCACCACACGCCCCATCTCTTAGGCCCTTTCCTGAACTGCCCCCGTGCCGTGCCATCGCCATACGCTCCAGTCTTAACGATCCCATAGTACGACGCGGGCGAGTTCAGAAGGTCCTGCATCGCGGCCAAGTACGTGTTGCCGTCGGCATTGGTGAGCGACGACGCGTCGCGAAAGACTCCCCTAGTGTAATACGAGTACAAGTCCCCCAGAGAGTGGTTTCGGCCCCGGAACAAGCTTCCTCCCCAACCCCGGCCCTTATTCTTCCCGCCGTAGCGCCGACCCGCCATGGCAGTCCCCGTGGTGTTCGTCCACGTCACGATGAAATCCGACAAGTACAGGGCCACGTTTCCGGTAGTTCCTTCGGCGCCTTTGCTGGCGCCGACGAAATCCGGCTTGCCGGGGTCCTTCAGCGCGATGCCGACTTGGAAGTGGAGGTCGTACGCGGTGTCGTTCCTGAAACAGTAGGGACAGCAACTAGGTTTCGCATAAGCGCCAGGAACAGGGGGGTTTCAACAGAGGTCAGAAGGGCTAGTTAGTCGTGGTCAAACTACTCGTCGGACGAGCAGGAGGAGATCGATGAGTACCGTAAGCCCCCGGATAGAAGCGCAAGCCTCGGATAAGCGCCGGCGCTTATAAAAGGATGAGGGCGCTTATATCCGGTCCTCGATTATAAGCGCACCCCTAAAGGCTTACGGATTATAAGCGCCACCCTCTGAATTATTTTTAATATTTTTACTGGAAACGCTGTAACGAAACACAATTTTTGCATCCCCACATTCAGAAATTCGAATCCCTTCACCATCGCGCGACTCAATGCCTTCGCGTCCAGTCAGAATGACCTGTCATGGGGTCAATCTGACTCATTCTGACTGTGCGTGTTGGCAGAGAATCAGCCACTGCCAATTTACGCGAGATTCATATTCCAGCCCTCTACAATATCGATTCGATTCAAATCGCAAGGACGAGATGAACACTTTGGTGTAAAAAAACTAGATTTCATATATGTCATTTTATAAGCCCCGGCGCTTATAAAAATCCTCAATTATAAGCCCACCCCCTAAAAAACAGTGTTTTTTATAACCCCAGGGGCGCTTCTATCCGGGGGCTGACGGTACCCCTTGCTTATCGCCAACCCCAGACATAGATAATATCATCATCCCCGGACATACATCCCAGAATTGTTTGGCCCTCGTGCTATGTAGAGTAAAATGAATGTAAAAAAACCTATACGTATAGTACGCGACCCTCAATGTTTTGGGAAGTAAATCATAATATCGCCATCCCCGGAGATAGACAATATCACTGTCCCTTGCAGGGCTTAATCTTACTGGACAAGCACGAGATAGATGACCTTTTTTACACTTATCGCCAATCGCGTTCCCCCTTTCCTGTCCCCATCTCAGCCAAAAAAAAAACTCAAGCTGTCAGAACATATAGCTTTTGCATATTGTGTAGGCTATAGTGGGGTAGCCCATAAGGGGTACAACCCAATTAGGGTTAGTACTTGTACCCAGTTCATTCATAGTTCATTCATTTCGTTCTAAGTTTCTCATGGTATCGAGCAGGTTCCCTAGTGGGAACTGTGCCTAGGGCCCACCACATCGAAAAGTTTTTTTTTTCCTGCCCGGAGCGCGCTCAGCCCGAGTCGCGCTCCCCTCTCTCGTTTCGTCGAGCCGCCCTTGCGGCTGATCGCGCCGCCCTCGCGGCCCCGTCGCCCTAGCGGCCCCGTCCCCTTAGCGGCCCCGTCCCCTAAACGGCCCCGTCGACCTAAACGGCCCGTCCCCCTAGCGGCCCCGTCCCCTTAGCGCCCCGTCCCCTAAACGGCCCCGTCGACCTAAACGGCCCCGTCGCCCTAAACGGCCCCGTCACCCTAGCGGCCCCGTACCCTACACGGCCCCGTCACCTAAACGGCCCCGTCGCCTAAACGGCCCCGTCACCCTAAGCGGCCCCGTCGCCCTAGCGGCCCCGTCACCTAAACGACCCCGTCACCCTAAGCGGCCCCGTCGCCCTAGCGGCCCCATCCCCTAAACGGCCCCGTCGCCCTAAGCGGCCCCGTAACCTAACGGCCCTGAGCCGCCCCGTCACCCTAAGCGGCCCTATCGCCCGAGCGGCCCTCACTTGCGGCCCCGTCGCCGCCCACACCTGTGGCCCCGCCGCCCTCACCTGCGGCCCCGTCGCCGCCCTCACCTGCGGCCCCGTTGCCGCCCTCAACTGCGGCCCTGTAGCCGCCCTCATCTGCGGCCCCGCCGCCCTCACCTGCGGCCCCGTCGCCGCCCTCACCTGCGGTCCTGCTGCCCTCATCTGCGGCCATCGTTGCCGCCCTCAGCTGCGGCCCCACCGCCGCCCTTAGCTGCGGCCCGTCGCCGCCCTCACCTCCGACCCCGCCGCCCTCACTTGCGGCCCCGCCGCCATCCACTGCTGCAGCGCCGCCCGTCGCCCGAGCCGCCCCATCCAGCCGAGCCACCGACCGCCGCACCGCCCTGCAGCAGCGCAGCTGAGCAGCCGAGCCGCCCAAGCCGCCCGAGCCGCCCGAGCCGCCCGAGCCGCCTGAGCTGCTGTGGAGTCGAGCCGCGGGTGCAGCAGAGCTGCGGTTGCTGCCGGGCTGCCCGAACCAACCTGTCTGGTGAGAGCAGAGCTTCTGTCACTTGCACTGCCCCACCCCTACTGTTAGCACTGCTTGTCTACTGGTGTCATGGCCACTCCCAGCGTTCTCGCTTTTGACGCTGAGGGACGGGCCATTGACTTTGAGGTCTGGGTCGACGACCTGCAGCTGTTCTTACAGTGCGATAGGGCGGACGGTCTTTCTCTCTTTGACCTCACCTCTGGCGCCTCCCCTGCCCCTGCTGCCGATGCTGACGCCACTGTTCACTCGCAGTGGGCTACTCGCGATGCTGCTGCACGTCTTGCTGTGCGTCGCCACCTGCCTACCACTGAGCGCGCGCACTTTAGTCAGTACAAGAGTGCTCAGACCTTGTACGACGCTGTAGTTGCGCGCTACTCCTCCCCTGCCGCTGCTGGACTGAGCCACCTCATGCTACCATACCTCTTTCCTGACCTTGCTGCCTTTCCCACAGTCGCTGACCTCATTACGCACCTCCGCACTAGTGACACTCGCTACCGCGCCGCGCTTTCTGCTGAGTTCTGCGCCAAGAACCCCCCCCCCATGTACATCACTCTCTATTACATAGTCACCCGCCTCCCTGACTCCCTTTGCGTAGTAAGGGACCACTTCCTCTCAGTCCGTCCCACCACTCTCACTGTTGACCTCCTAGAGAAGGCCCTCCTAGCAGCGGAGAAGAGCATAGTCGCTGTAGGAGCCTCTCGTGGTGACCCTCGCACCCCCATCTTTGAGGGGTGTTCCCCTTCCCCCCTGCTGCCCTCTGTCGCCTCTGCTGCTGCGGCCGACCTCGTTGGTCTTGAGTCGGTCGGTGCGGCGTCTGCCCCTAGCGCGAGACGCCGCTCTGGCAAGGGCAAGGGGGGCAAGGGCGCGGGTGGAGCTAGCGGAGGTGGTGGAGGTGGTGGTGGAGGAGGGGGAGGGAGTGGGGGTGGCGGTGGGAGTGGTGGCGGGGGTGGAGGTGTCAGTGGCAGCAGCGGAGGCGGAGGAGGCGGCGGCGGTAGCGATGGGAGCGGAGGCGGCGGTGGTGGCGGAGGTGGAGGCGGCGGTGGTGGAGGAGGTGGAGCTGGTCGGGGTGGTGCTTCGCAGCGGAGCGGCTCCAGTGGCGGTCAGCGCCAGCAGCAGCAGCAGGAGCGGTCTCGTGACATCCCCTCCCCTCGGCAGCTCCGTCAGTGGTACACGCAGCGTCAGCGTGGTGGGGGTTTTGGTCCGTGCAGCTACGTCCTTCGCACCGGCGACCGCGCGGGTGAGCAGTGTGGGGGTGCCCACCCCACCCAGCGCTGCTTTGGCCGCCTGACGGACGCTTGGCGTCAGCAGTTTCCGGAGGCTAGTGAGATCCCCCGCTGGGGAGAGCTGTCTAGGGCAGGCGTAGCTATCTATGATCTTGACTTTGATGCTATCCTTGCTACCATGTATGCTGTGACTGTTAGTGATGAGGGTGACTCTTACCGGTGTTTCCCGCCCGACCCGGGCATTGGTAGTGCTGCGCTAGGTGCTAGTGAGGCTGCTGCTCTAGGTGCCAGTGCGTATGCGCCCTCAGGTACTGGTGAGTCTGCGCTCTCAGGTACTGCGTCGGCTTCGGCCTCCCTCACCTTCACACTTGACTCAGGCGCTTCTCGCTCCTTCTTTCGAGACCGCACCACACTCACGCCGCTTGGTCGGCCAGTTCCAGTCTCCCTGGCAGACCCCTCTGGGGGTCCTGTCCTCTCTCACTTCTCCACTTTCCTCCCGTGTCCGGCTGCCCCCTCGGGCACCCTGTCTGGTCTTTACCTCCCCTCGTTCTCTACGAACTTGGTGAGTGGTGCTGACCTACAGGATGCAGGGGTTCACGAGTTTACTCCTGCGAGCCAGCGGGTGACCCACCGCTCGGACGCTCGCACAGGCCGGCACCTGGCCACGTTTACGCGTCGGCCGGGGTCGAGCCTCTACACCCTGACCACTGAGTCTCCTCCTGTCCCTGCGTCTGGCCAGGTAGCTGCGTCGGGTCAGGTGTTTGGTGCAGCGTCCAGGTCTGGTCCTGAGTCTGCCCCCTGCTCGTGTCGCCTCCTGTCTCACGAGACTCTCCTGTGGCACCACCGTCTTGGTCACCCCTCCCTGCCTTGTCTCCGAGGCATGGCTTCCCGTGTCCTTGTCTCTGGTCTTCCCCGGTCCCTCCCTCCCCTTCCTCCTGGACATGGTCCTTCCTGCGTCCCCTGTGTCGAGGGGCGCCTCCGGGCTGCCCCTCACTCCTCTTAGTTTCCCCCCGACAGAGGCCCCGCTGCAGACGCTTCACATGGACGTGTGGGGCCCGGCCCGCGTCCGTGGACAGGGTCACGAGCGCTACTTCCTGCTGGTGGTTGACGACTACTCGCGTTACACCACAGTCTTCCCCTTGCGCAGCAAGGGCGATGTCACTGCGGTGCTAATCGACTGGATCCGCGCAGCTCGTCTCCAGCTCAGGAGGAGCTTCGGCTCGGACTTTCCTGTTCTGCGTCTGCACTCTGACCGAGGCGGAGAGTTCTCCTTTGGCCTTCTGCGAGTCTACTGCCGTGCGCGAGGCATCCGCCAGACCTTTACGCTTCCGGACTCTCCACAGCAAAATGGGGATCGCTGAGCGCCGCATTGGCATGGTCATGGACGTCGCTCGTACCTCCATGGTGCATGCGGCTGGGCCCCATTTTCTGTGGCCATTTGCGGTTAGGTACGCGGCGCATCAGATCAACCTTCACCCCAGGGTCTCCAGGCCGGAGACCTCCCCAGCCTTGCTGTGGACGGGGAAGGTCGGCGATGCGTCTACGTTCCGTGTCTGGGGATCTCGGGCGTTTTTCCGCGACTTGTCTGCGGACAAGCTGTCCCCTCGTGCTGCTCCTTGTGTCTTCCTTGGCTTCCCCCTTGACGCGCCAGGGTGGCAGTTCTACCACCCCTCCTCTCGACGTGTTCTGTCCTCCCAGAACGTCACGTTTGACGAGTCGGTCCCCTACTACCGTCTCTTCCCCTACCGCACTCCTTCCCTCCCCTCGCCTCCGCTCTTCCTTGTGCCAGGTCCCCCCCCGGTAGACCCCCTCCCCCCTCAGGGTCCTACCCCTTCAAGTGTGTCCTAGGTAGACGCTGTCGAGCCGGTCGAGGTTGCTGGTGACTCTGGTACTGCTGCGGGTGGCTGAGCCTGGGGGTGCTGACTCTTGGGGTGCTGTGCGAGGGGGTACTGAGCCTGGGGGTGCTGAGACTGGGGGTGCTGAGCCTGGGGGTGCTGCGACTTGGGGTGCTGAGCCTGGGGTTGCTACGACTTGGGGTGCTGAGCCTGGGGGTGCCACGCCTGGGGGTGCTGAGCCTGGGGGTGCTAGGACTAGAGGTGCTGAGCCTGGACCTGCTTGTGTGGCGTCTGGCGGTGCTGGGCTTGGAGGTTCTCCGGGTACTTCGTCTCGGCGGGAGCCACTCTCTCCACAGGAGCTGCAACGAGTGGTTTGCCCGGCGCTGGAGGCGTACTGCTGGAGCTGGAGCTTCTTCAGCCACTGAGGGTGCTGGTGCTGCCGGTGCCGGAGGTGCTCGTCCTGGGAGTGCTGGAGCTGCTGGGCCTGCGGGTACGACTGGAGCTGGAGCTGTTGAGGGTGTTGGCGCTGAGGCTACTGCTGTGAGTCCTGGCGGCGGTCCTGTTGCGGGTGCTGCTGGTGCTGCTGGAGGTACTGCAGTTGGAGGTGCTGTTGGCGCTGGTGCTGCCGCTGAGGGTACTGGTGCTGTCCCTGCTGTGTCTGGAGCCGCCGCGCGGCCTCGACCGTACTTCGTTCCGCTCCTTCCGCAAGTTCTTGGTTCTTCTCCTCCTGTAGAGTGTCCACCGCCTGTCCAGTCACAGTCCCAGGTACCGCTGGCCTCCCCACTGCCTGCTCCCTCTCCTTACACTGGTCCTATTGGAGGTCTTGCTGAGCGTCGTGAGCCTGCGTCTCGTCCCGCGTCGCCTGTTCGTGCTGCTCGCGCTAGTGGTCGCGGTTCGCGTTAGCGTCCTCCTCCTGTCCCTAGCACGCACCGAATGTCTCTGCGTCCGTCCACTGCTCCTCTGCGTGTCCCTTTGCCTTCTCCTCCTGAGTCCTCTCTTCCTGCGCTTGCCGACCCGGAGTCGGACTCTCTTCGTGCTGCCACTCCTACTGTCACGCGTCTCCTTGCTACAGCCGTCATTGACCCCTCTTTTGAGTCCACTGCTGCGTCTGCTCTTGTTGCTGAGCTCGTCGACTTTGCTGCTCGCTGTCGTCTAGACTACGCTGCTAGCCTAGCAGACAGACTCAGACTCAGCAACTAGGCTAGCAGCGTAGTCTAGACGACAGGTGGCAGCAAAGTCGACAAGCTCAGCAACTAAGGCAGACGCAGTAGCAGACTCAAAGGAAGGGTTAGTGACAACAGTAGACAGGAGACGCGTGACAGTAGGACTGGCAGCACGAAGAGAGTCGGACTCAGGGTCAGCAAGAGCAGGAAGAGAGGAAGCAGGAGGAGACGGCAGTGGGACACGCTGTGGAGCAGTGGACGGACGAAGCGCCATCCGGTGAGTGCCTGGGACAGCAGGAAGACACTGACGCTGGACATGACTACCAGAGAGAGCAGTACGGATAGGCAACGCAGGACAAGACTCAGGCTCACGACGCTCAGTAAAACCTCCAGTCGGACCAGTGTAAGGAGCAGGACCAGGGTGAGAGGAGGCAGACGGTAACTGCGACTACAGCTGGACAGACGGAGGACACGCTAAGGAGGGAGGAGGACAAGGAGGAGGGAGCTGACCAAGAACCTGCTGAAGGAGCGGAACGAAGTACGGCCGGGACTGTGCAGCGACACCAGAGCCAGCAGGGACACCTGCACCAGGGTCCGCAGCACCAGCAGCAGCGCCAACACCTGGGTCCGCAGCTCCAACAGCAGCTCCAACACCTGGGTCTGCAGCACCAGCAGCAGCTCCAGCACCCGGGTCCGTAGCACCAGCAGCAGCTCCAACGCCCGGGTCCTCAGCACCAGCACCAGCTCCAACACTCGGGTCCTCAGCACCAGCAGCAGCTCCAACTCCCGGGTCCGCAGTATCAGCGGCAGCTCCAACGCCCGGGTCCTCAGGACCAGCAGCTGCTCCAACACCCGGGTCCGCAGCACCAGCGGCAGCTCCAACGCCCGGGTCCTCAGCACCAGCAGCAGCTCCAACGGCAGCGGGGTCCGCAACACGAGGCACGCCACTCCGAAGAGTGCAGCGCCGCTCGTACCACTCACGGATCCGCTCACGGGAGGTGAGCTCCCGAATGGGAGAAGAAGCACTAGCACCAATCCCAGCAGCACGTTTGGCTCGAGCGGCACCTCTCCGCAGGCTGCAGTACTGTAAGTACCACTCACGCAGCTGCTTTGAGGAGAGGGCTCCTCCAGGTGTAGGACTCCCAGGCCCAGTACCTCCAGACCCAGAACCCCCAGACTCCGGACTCTGCGGCTCAGCACCCCGAAGCTCAGCACCCCCAAGCTCAGCACCCCCAGGCTCCGCACCCCCAAGCTCAGCACCCCCAAGCTCCACACCCCCAGGCTCCACACCCCCAGGCTCAGCACTCCCAGGCTCCACACCCCCAGGCTCAGCACCCCCAGGCTCAACACCCCCAGCAGGACGAGAGTCGACAACTACCTCAACAGGCTCAACCGGGTCTACCTGAGACACACCTGAGGGAGCGGCACCCTGAGGGGGGAGGGGGTCTGCAACAGCAGCACCTGGCGCAAGGAAGAGAGGCGGGGAGGGGGAGCGGGGCAGTGCGGTAGGGGAAGAGGCGGTAGTAGGGGACGGACTCGTCAAAAGTGACGTCCTGAGAGGGCAAGACTCGGCGCGAGGTGGCGTGGTAAAACTGCCAACCAGACGCGTCCGGGACAAAGTCGAGGAAGACGCAGGGAACATTACGGGAGGAGAGCTTGTCCGCAGACGTATCGCGGACAAAAAGCTCGAGATCCCCAGACCCGGAAAACGCGACGCATCACCAACCTCCCCCGTCCGCAGCAGCGTGGGCGAGGTCTCCGGCAAGGAGACACGGGGCCAGAGGTTGAGGTGATGCGCAGCGTACCGACCGCAAACGGCCACAGAAAGTGGGGGGCAGCCGCATGGATCAAGGAGGTACGGGCGACCTCCATGACCAGGGCCAATGCGGCGCTCCGCAACCCCATTCTGCTGTGGAGAGGCCGGAAGCGCGAACGACTGCTCAATGCCGTGCTCAGCACAGTAGGCTGCCAAGAGGTCGGGAGGAGAACTCACCACCTCTGTCAGAGTGCAAGCGCAGGACAGGAAAGTCCGAGTGAAAACGCTCGCTGAGCTGGAGACGGGCTCTGCGGATCCAAGGGATCAAGACATCAGGGACCTCACCCTTGGTGCGCAAGGGGAAGACCGAGGTGTAGCGCGAGTAGTCGTCAACAACTATCAGGAAGTACCTCTCCTGACCCTGACCACGGATGCGGGCTGGGCCCCACACGTCCATGTGGAGTGTCTGCAAGGGAGCAGTCGTCGGGGGAAACGAGGAGGAGTGAGGAGCGGCGCACTGCCGTCCCTCGACACAGGGGAGACAGGTAGGAGCAGGCGAGGGTGGGAGGGCAGGAAGGACCTTGGGCAGGCCAGAGACAAGGTACCGGGAGTGCATGGCACGAAGCCGCTGCACAGACGGGTGGCCAAGGCGGTGGTGCCAGAGGACAGTCTCGTGTGCCAGAGAGCGACACGAGCAGGGGGCGACAGCTGACCTGACGCGGACGCAGACGCAGACGCAGCAACCTGAGGGACTCAGTAGTCAGTGTGTAACAGGTCCGACCCCGGCTGCCGAGTGAAGGTAGCCAAGTGACGGCCCGTACGAGCACACGTACAGTGTGTCACGCGCTCGTAGGCAGGGGGTGAACTTGTGAATACCCCCGTCCTGGAGCGCACATCCTGCCACCAAGTTCGTAGAGAACGAGGGGAGGTGGAGACCTGACAGTGTGCCGACGGGGACCGCAGGACAGGGAAGGACAATGGAAGAGGTCGCAATGACCGGACCCCCAGAGGGGTCAGCAAGGGAGACAGCAACTGGCCGAGCAAGCGACTCAAGGGCAGTGCGGTCACGAAAGAAGCAGCGAGAAGCACCTGAGTCCAGTGTGAAGGTGTGCAGTGCTGGCAGTCGACTCAGTACCAAGGGGGGCAGACACACGAGCACCTAGAGCAGCAGCCTCACCAGCACCTGGGGTAGCCGACACGCAAGTACCTGGAGCGGCAGACGCACTGGCCCTAATGCCCGGGTCGGGCGGCACACACAAGTACTCAGCACCCTCTCCACTATTAGACATCACATACATGGCAGATAGAATAGCATCAAAGTCTAGAGCATAGATATCAATCCCCTTCTTCAGGAGATCATCCAGCGGGGCAGCTCAGTGGCCTGAGGGAACCGAACACGCCAAGCGTCATCGAGGACGAGCGAAGCAGCGCTGTGTGGCGTGCGGGAGTCGTCCACACTGCTGACCAGTGCAGGTCACCAGTGCGAATGACGTACGTGCAGCTAAGACCAACCCCACCCCCGTGCTGAGAGTACCACTCACGGACCTCCTGGGGCGAAGGAGTGTGCTGCTGGCCCTGGCCACCACCAGCGCCTCCACGGCCACCACCACCGCTGCCACGCTCCTCGACCACCCCAACCCCTGCCGCCGCCGCCGCGTCCACCTCCACCCCAACCACCGCCTCCGCCCGTGCCACCTCCCCCGCCGCTGCCGCCACCACCCCAACCGCTACCACTCGCCCCTCCAGCCGAGCCACCACCACCACCGGCCTCCACCAACCCCCTACCGCCGCCTCCCCCGCCGTCACCGCCACCACCCTTGCCCCCTTTGCCCTTTGCCGCTGCGGCGCCCACTCGAGGCAGGCGCAGCGCCGACCTTCTTAGCACCAAGAAGGTCGACAGCAGCAGCAGAGGCGACAGAGGGAAGAAGGGGGGAAGGAGAACACCCCTCAAAGAACGGGGTACGGGGGTCGCCACGAGAGGCACCTCAAGCGACTATGCTAGTCGCGGCTGCAAGTAGCTCCTTCTCGAGGAGGGCAATGGTGAGCTCAGTGGGGCAGCGAGCTAGGAAGTGGTCCCTGACAGCACGAAGTGTGTCAGGGAGGCGGGTGACTAGGGTGGTAGAGAGTGAGCCAGAGTGGAGGGGGGTGCGTGGCAAGGAACTCAGCAGGCATGGCGGCACGGAAGCGGGCCTCACTAGTACGGAGGTGTGTGATGAGGTCAGCGACTGTATGAAAAGGAGGCCAGGTCGGGAAACAGGTAGGGGAGGGAGAGACGGCCTAGATGCGGCAGAGGCAGGTGAGGAGTAGCGAGCAACTACAGCTGTGTACAGTGCCTGTGCAGTCTTGTGCTGGCCAAAGTGCTCGCGTTCCGTCTATCGGCAAGGACTTGCGAATAGGCGAAGCGAGCGTGGGCATCACGAGTCTGCCACTGTGAGCGAGCAGTGCTGTCAGCAGTAGCAACAGGGGCAAGTGACATGGCCTAGGGCGTGATCGTACAGTGGAGATGTCATCCTTGGCTCTGAGTTGTAGGTAGGAGGTGCAAGTCATCGAGCCAGGTGTCAAAACTTCACAGGGCGGTCCCTCAGCATCGAACACGAGAACCTGTGGGCTAGCCATAGGAACAGCAGAAATAGCAGCAGTCAGCAGTTAGGAGAAGCAGTTAGGACAGACCAGTTAGGGCAGGGCGGCGCGGCTCGGTTCGGGTCGGGTCGCGCGGTTCGGCTGGGTTGCGCGGCTCGGCTCGGGGCGCGCGGCTCGGGTCGCGCGGCTCGGTTCGGTCACGGGCTGCGGCGGGAACGGGCCGCTCGGGGCCTCTAGGGACTGTGGGCACGGGGCCGGTTGGGGCCTCTAGGGACGGCGGGCGCGGGGTCGGCGGGGATGTTTGGGGCCCTAGAGAGGCGAGCGCGGGGCCGATCGGGGCCTGAACGGGGCTAGCGCGGAGCCGACGGGGCCTGAACGGGGCCGACGGGGCCTCTAGGGACAGCTGGCGTGGGGCCGACGGGGCCTGAACGGGGCTAAGGCGGGGCCGATCGGGGCCTGAACGGGGCTAGCGCGGGGCCGACGGGGCCTGAACGGGGCCGACGGGGCCTCTAGGGACAGCGGGTGTGGGGCCGACGGGGCCTGAACGGGGCTAGCGAGGGGCCGACGGGGCCTGAACGGGGCTAGCGCGGGGCCGACGGGGCCTGAACGGGGCTAGCGTGGGGCCGACGGGGGCCCAGAACGGGGCCGACGGGGGCCTCTAGGGACAGCGGGCGTGGGGCCGACGGGGCCTGAACGGGGCCGACGGGGCCTGAACGGGGCTAGCGCGGGGCCGACGGTGCCGTGAACGGGCCTAGCACGGGGCCGACAGGGCCGCTAGGTAGGTAAGCCGCGGGGGCCGTCAAGGGGGCCTCTAGGGGCGTGACAAAAGCCGAGGCACCCTAGGGGCGCAATAGGTAGGTAGGTAGGTAGGTAGGTAGTGGTGGGCCCTTTAAAAATTTTCGGTCCTAGGAAGGACCTGCTCTATACCATGTTGGAATAACTGAACAGGAATGAATGAACTAACAGTGAAATGAGTACAAGTACCTAACCCTAGAATTGTGCACCCCCTATAGGCTAACCCACTGTAGTCTAAACTAACAACAACATATATAATGTTTGACACTCATCTCGGCGTCCGTACTGCTTACCCCTGAGGGAGACCTGGATGCACTTGACATCCCGACTCCGCGCTCTTACGCGGAGGCCGTAGAGGGTCCCTACTCCTCTCAGTAACTGGCAGCTATGGATGCAGAGATGGCTTCCTGGAAGTCCACAGGCACCTACGTTGACGCAGTTCCCCCTCCTGGGGCGAACATCGTCCAGTGGCATGTGGATCTTCAGGGTGAAGCGGCCGCCAGGTTCGCCACCTGTCTTCAAAGCGGCGGTACGTGCTCGTGGCTTCAGTTAGCGGCAGGGAGTTGACTACTTTCAGACCTTCTCTCCCACCCCGAAGATGACCACTCTTCGGGTGCTGCTGCACATAGCCGCTCAAGCGTGACTACGAGCTTCACTCCCTTGACTTCACAGCACTGCTTTCTTGCAGGGCAGCCTGCACGAGGAGATCTGGCTAGCGCCGTCCACCTGGCTTCACTGGGACTTTCCCTCCTGGCATCCAGCGGAGCCTCCGACGGCCCAGTCTACGGTCTCCGCCATGCACCGCGTGAGTGGCACGACACACTGAGACTATGCCTTGCGGCTCTTGGGGTTCGCTCCCTCTACTGCTGACCACCGTCGTTGTTTCTTCTGCGCATCGACACCCTCTCTGCCGCCGTTCTACTCCTCGTGTACGTCGACGACTTGGTCCTTTGCCACAGCTGACACTGCTGGACTCGCCCCAGCGTGAAGTCCGAGCTGCAGAAGAGACACACGTGCACACACCTAGGTGAACTGCACAGCTACCTTGGCTTGCAGATCACCCGGGACAGAGCACAGCCGCACCATTACCCTGACTCAGTCACACATGGTGCAGCAGGTCCTTCAGTGCTTCGGCTTCACCTGGTCCTCAGCATAGGCCACGTCCCTCTGGCTATAGGTCACTCGGTCTCAGCTCTTGCCTTCGGATGAGTCCGTAGAGTCGCGTGGTCCTTACCTAGAGCTAGTTGGTTGCCTCATGTACCTGATGACTTGCACTTCGTCCTGACCTAGCATACCTCTTGGTCTTTTGGCTCGCTATGTGGCTGCTGGTCGTCACCGGAAAGGTGCACTAGGATGTTGCAAAGAGGGTATTGCGCTACGTGTGCATTACATCACGCATGGGGCTCGTGCTTGGAGGAGGGAGCTCGGTTGTTCTCACTGGGCACTCAGACGCTTCTTAGGCTGACGACCAAGCTACTCAGCGGTCGTCACAGGGTTACACCTTCAGTCTTGGCTCTGGTTCAATATCGTGGCGCTCTACTCGTTCGTCTTCGGTTCTCAGCTCCAGTTGTGAGGCTGAGATCTACGCCACAGCCATGGTTGCACAGGAGTTACGCTGGCTCACCTACCTGCTGACCGACCTTGGAGAGCGGCCTAGTTCTCCTCTAGTGCTGTACGTCGGCAACAAGGCTGCCATTGCCTTGTGTCATGAGCACAGACTGGAGCACAGAACAAAGCACATCGCTCTCCGTTACTTCCTTGCTCGTGAGCTTCAGCAGCGTGGTCAGCTTCGTCTGTGCTACGTGGCCTCTCAGGCCAACACCGCTGATGTTTTCACCAAGGCACCTCAGCCTGGTGATCATTAGCGCTTCTGTACTTTGTTGGGGCTAGTGCCCATTTTGTCTCACTTGTTGTAGGCTTTGCCTATACTGTGATCTCTATATATACTCCTGCCTATTTGCTCTGCTAGGTTGAGATCATCCTTGTTGTCTATACTAAAAATATATACCTCTGCATGTGAACTGGCCTTATGGCCCTTTGCTTGTGCTCGGAGTGTGTGGTGACGTTGTGATCCACCCTCAGCTTGCTTGCCTTTCTTGACTGGTCTTGTGACCCCTTGTTCTCCCCCAATTTGCCTATGGGGGTGTGTCAAACACTATATGTGTTATTATTGTGTAGGCTATAGTGGGTTAGCCTTTAGGGGGTACACAAAGTTAGGGTTTCCTACTTGTACTCCAACTTTCATAGTTCAATCACTTCTTGTTTGTAACAAGTCAAGCAGTGTCAGCAGTGGCAAAGACCAAGTCGTCGACGTACACGAGGATGTAGAACGGCGGCAAAGAGGTGTCGGTGCGCAGAAAAAACGACGGGTCGGCGGTAGAAGGAGCAAACTCAAGAGCCGCAAGTGTAGTCCTCAGTGAGTCGTGCCACTCACGGGGCGCCTGGCGGAGACCGTAGACTGGCCGCCGGAGGATTTATTGGGTACCAGGAGGAAATGACCCAGTGAAGCCAGGTGGGCGGCGCAGTCAGATCTCCTCGTGCAGGCTGCCTTGCAAGAAAGCTGTGCTGAAGTCAAGAGAGTGGAGCTTGTAGTCGCGCTGAGTGGCTATGTGCAATAGTACCCGAAGAGTGGTCATCTTCGGGGTGGGAGAGAAGGTCTGAAAGTAGTCAACTCCTTGCCGCTGACTGAAGCCTCGAGCCACGTAACGCGCCTTGAAGACAGGCGGAGAACCTGGCGGCCACTTCACCCTGAAGATCCACATGCCACTGAGGATGTTCGCCCCAGGTGGGGGAACCTGGTCAACGTAGGTGCCTGTGGACTTCTAGGATGCCATCTCTGCGTCCATGGCGAACTGCCACTGAGAGGAGTAGGGACCCTCGATCGCCTTAGCGTACGATCAAGGAATCGGGATGTCTGGTGCATCCGGGACTCCCTCAGGGGCGATCAGCGTGGACACGAGATGGGGCAAAGTAGCACCAAAGCACTAGAACTCCTCCTGCCTGTCCTTAAGGACGTTCATGCTAAGAGCACACTCACCCCCGACGGACGGAGGACAGACACACTCAAACTCAGCAACGAGACTAGCAGCGTAGTCTAGACGATAGCGAGCAGCGAAGTCGACATGCTTAGCAACCAGGGCCGACGTAGCAGTGGACTCAAAGGAAGGGTCGGTGACAATAGTAGCAAGGAGACGCGTGACCGAAGGACTAGCAGCACGAACAGAGTCAGACCCCGGGTCAGCAAGAGTAGGAAGAGGGAACTCTGGAGGAGACGGCAATGGGACACGCAGAGGAGCAGTGGACGGACGCAGCATCATCTCGTCTGTGCCGGGGACCGCAGGAGGACGCGGATGCGGAGCACGACTACTAGTGCGAGCACCACGAACAGGCGACGCAGGAAGAGACACAGGCTAACGACGCTTAGCAAGACCTCTAGTAGGACAACTGTAGGGAGAAGGAGCAGGTAGAGGAGAGGCGGGCTGTAACTGTGACTGTGACTGGATAGGCTGTGGACAGTCTAAGGGAGGAGCAGGATCAGTAGAGGGCGGGAGACCAAGAACCTGCTCCAAGAGCGAAACGAATTACGGCCTCGGCCCCGCAGCGCCTCCAGAACCAGCAGGGACAGCACCAGTACCCTCAGCGGCAGCATCAGCGCCAACAGCACCTCCAGCTCCAATAGCGCCAACTCCAGCACCCTCAGAAGCACTAGCGTCAACAGTACCACCAGCGCCAACACCCCCAGCAGCTCCAACTCCCGCAGCGCCAACTCCAGCACCCTTAGAAGCACGAATGCAGTAGCACCGCCAGCGCCAACACCCCGAGCAGCTTCAGCTCCAGCAGGCTCAGTAGCACCCCTAAACGCACAAGCGCCAGTAGAAACACTAGCGCCAACACCCCCAGCAGCTCCAGCAGGACCAACTCCAGTAGCCCTAGCAGCACCAGTAGTACCTCCTGCTCTAGTAGCACGGCTCCAGCGGCGGGCAAACTACTCGCGCAGCTCCTATGGAGAGAGCGGCACCCGCCTCGACGAAGCACCGCCGGGGGCCACACGAGCAGACCCAGCGCCCCCAGGCTCCGCACCCCCAGGCTCCTCACCCCCAGACCCAGCACCCGTAGGCTCAGCACCCCCAGACTCAGCACCCCCGGACTCAGCACCCCCAGTCTCAGCACCCCCAATCTCAGCACCCCAGACCCGGCACCCGCAGGCTCAGCACCTCTAGCAGCACCAGAGTTAACAGCTACCTTGACAGGCTCGACTGCGTCTACTTGGGACACACCTGACGGGGCAGGACCATGAGGGTGGAGGGGGTCTACCGGGGGAGGACCTGGTGCAAGGAAGAGGGGGTCTACGAGAGACGTCCATGACCATGCCAATGCGGCGCTAAGCAATCCCATTTTGCTGTGGAGAGGCCAGAAGCGTGAAGGTCTGACGAATGCCCTGTGCACAACAAAAGGCTCCCAGACGGGCAGAGGAAAACTCCCCGCCTCTGTCAGAGTGCAGACGCAGAACAGGAAAGTCCGAGCTAGAGATGGGCTGCGCGGATCCAGTCGATCAACACCTCAGTGACGTCACCCTTGCTGCGCAAGGGGAAGACTGTGGTGTAACGCGAGTAGTTGTCAACCCTAAACCCAATGGGCTGTGAGGACCACTCGACGTCGCCCTCCAAGCACTAGCCCCATGCCCAACGTACTACACAAGTAGCGCAACACCCTCTTCGCTGCAGCCATGTGCTCTGGTCGGTGTCTCCCAAGAGAAACATAGCGTTCCAAGATGCTAAGAGGGTCTGCAAGGTCAGGTCGTGTATAGGTCATCAGGTACATGAGGCAGCCAACAAGCTCTGGGTACGGGCCACTCGACTCTACGGACTTATCCGAAGGCAGAGCTGAGAGCGAGTGGCGACTAGACAGAGGAGTGGTCTGAGGCGAGGAGTACGTGAAGTCGAAGTGCTGAAGGACCTGCTGCACCATGTGTGACTGAGTCAGGGTAATGGTGCGCTGTGCTCTGTCCCGGGTGATCTGCAAGCCAAGGTAGGTGCGCAGTTCACCTAGGTCTGTGCACGTGTGTCTCTTCTGCAGCTCGGACTTCACGTGGGCGAGTCTAGCAGTGTCAGCAGTGGCAAAGACCAAGTCCTCGACGTACATGAGGATGTAGAACGGCGGCAAAGAGGTGTCGGTGCTCAAAAACAACGACGGGTTGGCAGTCGAAGGAGCAAAGCCAAGAGCCGCAAGTGTAGTCCTCAGTGTGTCGTGCCACTCACGGGGCGCCTGGCAGAGACCGTTGAGTGGCCGCCGCAGGCTCCACTGGGTACCAAGAGGAAAAGACACAGTGAATCGAGGTGGGCGGCGCAGCCAAATCTCCTCATGCAGGCTGCCCTGCAAGAAAGCTATGCTGAAGTCAAGAGAGTGAAGCTCGTAGTCACGCTGAGCGACTATGTGTAGCAGCACCCGAAGAGTGGTTATCTTCGGGGTGGGAGAGAAGGTCTGAAAGTAGTCAACTCCCTGCCGCTGACTAAAGCCTCGAGCCACGTAACGCGCCTTGAAGACAGACGGAGAACCCGACAGCCGCTTCACCTTGGAAATCTACATGCCACTGACGATGTTCGCCCCAGGTGGGGGAACCTCGTCGACGTAGGTGCCTGTGGACTTCCAGAAAGCCATCTCTGCGTCCATGGCTGTCTGCCACTGAGAGGAGTAGGGACCCTCGATCGCCTCAGCGTACGATCGAGGAGTCGGGATGTCTGGTGCATCCAGGTCTCCCTCAGGGGCAATCAGCGTGGACACGAGATGAGGCAAAGCAGCAGCAAAACACTGGAACTCCTCCTGCCTGTCCTCAAGGACGTCTGTGCTAAGAGCACACTCACCCCCGACAGACAGACTCAGACTCAGCAACAAGACTAGTAGTGTAGTCCAGACGAGAGCGAGCGGCAAAGTCGACAAGCTCAGCAACGAGGGCTGACGCTGCAGTGGACTCAAAGGAAGGGCCAGTGACAACAGTAGCCAGGAGACGCGTGACAGTAGGACTGGCAGCACGAAGAGAGTCAGACTCCGGGTCAGCAAGAATAGGAAGAGAGGACTCTGGAGGAGACGGCAACGGGACACGCAGAGGAGCAGTGGAAGGACTCAGTGCCATTTGGTGTGTTCCTGGGACCGCAGGAGGACGCGGATGCGGAGCACGACCACTAGTGCGAGCAGCACGAACAGGCGACGCAGGACGAGACGCAGGCTCAGGACGCTCAGCAATATCTCTAGTAGGACCAGTGTAGGGAGAAGGAGCAGGTATGGGGGAGGCGGGCTGTAACTGTGATCGCGACAGGACAGGCTATGGATACTCGAAGGGAGGAGCAGGACCAGTAGAAGGCGGGAGGCCAAGAACCTGCTCAAGGAGCGGAACGAAGTACGGCCGCGGCCGCGCAACGCCTCCAGAAACAGCAGGGACAACACCAGTACCCCCAGCGACAGCACCAGTGTCAGCATCACCTCCAGCTCCAGAAGCGCCAACTCCAGCACCCTCAGAAGCACCAGCGCCAACACCCCCAGCATCTCCAGCTCCAGCAGCTCCAGCAGCACCTACTCCAGTAGGACCGGCAGCTCCAGTACCGCCACCAGCTCAAGCAGTATGTCTAGCTGGACCAACTCCAACAGCCCCAGCAGCACCCCCAGTCCCAGCAGCTCCAGTACCGTCAGTACGAGCACCTCCAGGACCAGCACCAACAGTAGCACCTCCAGCTCCAGCAGCTCGGCTCCAGCGCCGGGCAAACGACTCGCGCAGCTCCTGCGGAGAGAGTAGCTCCCGCCTCGACGAAGCACCGTGAGAGGCCACACGAGCAGACCCAGCACCACCAGGCTCCGCACCCCCAGGCTCAGCACCCCCAGGCTCAGCACCCCCAGACTCAGCACCCCCAGGCTCAGCACCCCCAGACTCCGCACCCCAAGGCTGAGCACCTCCAGACCCGGCACCCGCAGGTTCAGCACCTATAGCAGCACCAGAGTCAATAGCTACCTCGACACGCTCGACTGCGTCTACCCTGACGGGGCCGGACCCTGTGGGGGGAGGGGGTCTACCAGGGGAGGACCTGGCACAAGGAAGAGTAGCGGCGAGGGGAGGGGCGCAGTGCGGTAGGGGAAGAGACAGTAGTAAGGCACCGACTCGTAAAAGGTGACGTCCTAGTAGGACAAAACACGGTGCGAGGTGGGGTGGTAAAACTGCCACCCAGGCGCGTTAGGGGGGAAGCCAAGGAATACGCAGGGAACAGCACGGGGGGACAGCTTGTCCGCAGACAAGTCGCGGATAAACGACCGAGATCCCCAAACCCGAAACGCAGACGCATCGCGAACCTTCCCCGTCCACCGCAAGGTGGGGGAGGTCTCTGGCAAGGAGACCCGGGGCTGAAGGTTGAGCTGATGCGCGGCGTACTGAACCGCAAACGGCCACAGAAAATGGGGGCCAGCCGCATGGATCATGGACGTACAAGCGACGTCCATGACCATGCCAATGCGGCGCTCAGCAATCCCATTTTGCTGTGGAGAGGCCGGAAGCGTGAATGTCTGGCGGATGATCTGTGCACGACAGAAGGCTCCCAGACGGGCAGAGGAAAACTCCCCGCCTCTGTCAGAGTGCAGACCCAGAACAGGAAAGTCCCAGCTGAAACTCTCTCTGAGCTGGAGACGAGCTGCGCGGATCCAGTCGATCAACACCTCAGTGACATCACCCTTGCTTCGCAAGGGGAAGACCGTGGTGTAACGCGAGTAGTCGTCAACCACCAACAGGAAGTAACGCCCGTGACCCTGGCCACGGACGCGGGCGGGGCCCTACACGTCCATGTGAAGAGTCTGCAGCGGAGCCTCTGTCGGAGGAAACTCGGAGGAGTGAGGGGCGGCACGCTGCTGCCCCTCAACGCAGGGAATGCGGGTAGGGGCAGGCCCTGGAGGTAGGGGAGGGAGGGACCGGGGGAGACCAGAGACAAGGACACGGGAGGCCATGCCTCGGAGATGAGGCAGGGAGGGGTGACCAAGGCGGTGGTGCCAAAGGAAAGTCTGGTGGGACAGGAGACGACACGAGCAGGGAGCAGACTCAGGACCAGACCTAGACGCTGCAGCAAACACCTGACTTGACACAGCTACCTGACCAGACTCAGCAACCGGAGGAGACTCAGTAGTCAGTGTGTACAGGCTCGTCCCCGGCCGGCAGGTAAACGTGGCCAAGTGTCGGCCTGTCCGAGCACACGTGCAGTGGGTCACGCGTTGACTCGCAGGAGTGAACTGGTCAACCCCCCTATCCTGTAGATCAGCTCCACTCACCAAGTTCGTAGAGAACGAGGGGAGGTAGAGACCTGACAGGGTGCCAGAGGGGGCTGCAGGGCACGGTAAGACAGTGGAGAAGCTAGCAAGGACAGGACCCCCAGAGGGGTCCGCCAGGGAGACTGCAACTGGCCGACTAAGCGGCGTAAGCGTGGTGCGGTCTCGAAAGAAGGAGCGGGAAGCACCTGAGTCAAGGGTGAAGGTGTGTAAGGCCTGAGCCGACGTGGTACCTGAGAGAGCAGACTCACCAGCACCTGGGGCACTAGACGCACTAGCACCTAGAGCAGCAGTCTCACTAGTACTTAGAGCAGCAGCCTCAATGCCCGGGTCAGGCGGAACACACAGGTAACAGTCACCCTCATCACTAGCAGAAACAGCATACATGGCAGCAAGAATAGCATCATAATCAAGATCAAAGATAGCAACCCCCGCCCTAGACAGCTCTCCCCAGCAAGGGATCTCAGTAGCGTCAGGGAACTGGTGACGCCACGCGTCCGTCAGGCGGCCGAAGCAGCGCTGGGTGGAGTGCGGGCCCCCGCACTGCTCACCAGCGCGGTCGCCGGTACGGAGGACGTAGGTGCAGGGACCAGTACCCTCACCTCGCTGACGTGCAGCGTACCACTCACGAAGCTGCTGGGGGGACGGGGTCTCATGACTGCGCTGCTGCTGCTGGCGCGGACCACCACCGGAACCACCCCTTTGCGCAAAGCCGCGACCAGCTCCACCGCTGCCGCCGCCGCCTGCGCCACCTCTGTCGCCTCCGCCACCTCCGCCGCCTCCGCTCCCTCCGCCACCGTCGCCGCCTCCTCCGCCTCCACTGCTGCCACCGACACCTCCTCCCCCGCCACCACTCCCACCACCACCCCCACCCCCTCCACTGCCTCCACCACCACCTCCACCGCCCCCGCCAGCCCCTCCAGCGCCCTTGCCCCCCTTGCCCTTGCCGGTGCGGCGTCTCTCGCTAGGGGCAGACACAACGCCGACCGACTCGGTGCCAACGAGGTCGGCTGTAGCAGCAGAAGCAACAGAGGGCAAGAGGGGGGAGGGGGAACACCTCTCAAAGACGGGGGTGCGAGGGTCCCCACAAGAGGCTCCTACAGCGACTATGCTCTTCTCTACTGCTAGGAGGCGCTCCTCGAGGAGGTCAACGGTGACTGTGGTGGGGCAAACTGAGAGGAAGTGGTCCCTGACTAAGTGAAAGGAGTCAGGGAGCCGTGTGACTATGTAGTAGAGGGTGATGTACATGGGGGGGGGGGTTCTTGGCACAGAACTCAGCAGGCAGCGCATCGCGGTAGCGATTGTCACTAGTGTGAAGGTGCGTAATGAGGTCAGCGAGTGTGGGAAAGGCAGCAAGGTCCAGGAACAAGTATGGCAGCATGAGGCGGCTAAGAGCATCAGTGGCAGGGGGAGAGTAGCATGCAACTACAGCGTCGTACAAGGTCTTAGCACTCTTGTACTGACTAAAGTGCGCACGCTCAGTGGTCGGTAAGTGGCGACGCACAGCAAGACGGGCAGCTGCATCGCATGTGGCCCACTGTGAGCGAACAGTGGTGTCACCAGTAGTAGGTGGGGCAGGAGAAGCACTAGAGGTGAGATCAAATAGGGAGAGTTTGTCTGCCCTATCGCACTGGAGGAACAACTGGAGGTCATCGACCCAGACCTCAATGTCAACAGCACGACCCTCAGCATCAAAGGTAAGGACACTGGGGGTAGCCATGACAGCAGTGGTCTAGGACGGAGGGATCTTGTGAAAGTTTAGAAGAAAGAAGAGGGCCTGCACTAGCAAGAATGAGGATACAAATAGCAAACCCTAGAAGGGTTGTACTCGCTATAGAGCACCCTACTACAGGCTAGAGCATAATATTCTGACACACCCCCATAGCCGAAGTGGGGTGTAATCAACAGAGCAAGCAAAGCAGTACAAGCTCAGGGTGGATCACAATGTCACCACACATTCTGAGCACAAGTTCAAGAAGCAATAGTTTAAGTTCACAATTATGAGCAAAGCTAGTGGTAGTCACAACTGGCAAGTGAGGAGGAGGAGAGAGAGTGAGAGGAGAGGAGATAGGAGGCGACGGCTGAAGCTGCAGACACATGGGCAATAGGAGGCACACTGGCACAGCGGCTACCGGAACAACGCTCCGGAATAGTGGAGTAACTGGCCCCGCGGCTAAAGTAGCGGCAGACGAGCAACGGACCCACGGGCGGCTGGCACAGCTCGCTACGACTGGGCTACCGGAGCAATTCCCCGGAATAGAGGTGCTGCTGGTGACACGACGGCAACCTCCATTCAGCTTCCCAAACGATCCCACTCCCCCTGACACACACCCACTGCTACACCCCTAGCTCCACTCCCCCTTCACCCCCCCTTAGTACCACTCCACCGGCTCCAACAAGTCCACCCCCCCTCAGCGGCAGCTGCAGCACAAGGAGACGGAGGAGGAGGAGGAGCAGGGAACAGTACACATCCGCCACCCCCTAGGTCACCCCTCCCGTCGCCTGTCGAGGCGACCTGAGGGGGCCGCGTGCGGGCAGAGAACCGCCGCGCGCCTCAGGGCGCACAGCGGGCAGAAAACCGCCGCGCGCCTCGGGGCGCACGGCGGGCAGAAAACTGCCGTGCGCCTCGGGGCGCACGGCAGGAAGAAAAACTGCCACACGCCACGGGGCGTGTGGCACCGAGAGTAGTGGTAACAGTTGCAGCGGAAGCAAGGAGGTGGTAAGCCCACCCACAGGATCGATCCAAGGGGATCAACCTGCTCTGATAGCATGTGAAAGTTTAGAAGAAAGAAGAGGGCCTGCACTAGCAAGAATGAGGATACAAATAGCAAACCCTAGAAGGGTTGTACTCGCTATAGAGCACCCCACTACAGGCTAGAGCATAATATTCTGACAGATCTCACTAGTCCGAGTGAGTAGGGCCGGGGCGCACCTGTAGGAACAGTAGCGGCTTGACGGCGGCTCGGCGGTTGGGCGACTTGGCTGCTGGGCGGCTCGGCTGCTGGGCGGCTCGGCTGCTGGGCGGCTCGGCTGCTGGGCGGCTCGGCTACTGGGCGGCTCGGTGGCTCGGCTGCTGGGCGGCTCGGCTGCTGGGCGGCTCGGCGGCGGGGCGGCTCGGCTGCTGGGCGGCTGAAGAGGATGAGACGGGCGGCGACGAGGCCGCTAGAGGGCAGAGACGGGGCCGCTAGAGGCGGCGACGGGGCCGCGAAGGGCGGCGACAGGGCCGCTAGGGGCGGCGACGGGGCCGCTAGGGGCGACGACGGGGCCGCTAGGGGCGGCAAGGTGGCTGCGAAGGGCGGCTAAGGGGCTGCTAGGGGCAGCGAGGTGGCCGATAGGGGCGGCGACGAGGCCGTAGAGGGGCCGCGAGGGGCCAAGAGGGGCGGCGACGGGGCCGCGAAGGGGCCGTGAGGGGCCGTGAGGGGCCCAGAGGGGCGGCGACGGGGCAATAGCATATAATCTTGACAGAGAAGAAGTGCCAGTAGCAGTGAGACAAGAAGCAATTGAGTGATCCTCATTACGACAATCTTGTACGTCACTAATGACTCAGAACAGCAAGTTTAACAAATGGTGAAGGCCAGGAAGTTTGCTGCAGGCGGGATTCGCGTTGTGCGATCTCAAACTTGTAACCAGTGTGTGTTTGTCTGTGGAGAATTTACGACAGGGCTAGTGACGCGACGACGAATGTACGGAGCGTTTTATGCTTAGAGCTGGATGCATTTGGGCTTGGCCTTTTTGTGGGGTGACGTAATAGGCGCGAGGGGCGCAAGGGAGCGCGATGCGAGGCTCGATGTAGTGAGGGTGGTTGCGGTGCAGGAGTTACGCGGTTTGGTGTTGGGGGGTTGGGGGGGGGGGGGGAGGGGGGGGGGGGAAGTGGTGGTACGGTAGAGGAAAATTTGTTGGGGGGGGGGGTCAGGCAGTGCGATTAGAAACGCAGTGATGCGCGTGGTAGGTGGGAGTGGGCAGCGGTTCAGCAACGCTGGCAGCAATCGCCGTGGCAGCAGCGAACAACACTGGCGCATCTCAACACACTCAACACAAACCCGTTTTTCCCTGCCACGCCATTCCACTCTAGATGGCGATGTCACCCCGACATCTGCCCAAGTGCAACAATTTTTGTCCAGCGTCGCAAATGTTAGGGCGTGGAACATCTAGAAGTTCCGTACGAAGCCCCCGACTCCGAGTTCCGTCCGTACCGTCGTACAGTTTGGTCCCAAGCGGACGATGGTTCGGTTCGGACCCAGCCTTGTCCAGACGTGAATTTGGTACATACAAATTGCTTTGGATCCCCTTCAATCTCAAGGTCTATGTGGAAACATTTCAGGGCAAGCTCCCACTCATGAGGCAGCCAACTAGCTCTTGGTAAGGACCACTCAGCTCTACGGACTCATCCAAAGGCAGAGCTGAGAGCGAGTGACCTGTAGCCAGAGGAGTCGCTTGTGCCAAGGACCAGGTAAAGCCGAAGCGCTGAAGGACCTGCTGCACCATGTGTGACTGAGTTAGTGTGATGGTGCGGCGTGCTCTGTCCCGGGTGATCTGCAAGCCAAGGTAGCTGCGCAGTTCACCCAGGTCTGTGCATGTGTGTCTCTTCTGCATCTACGACTTCACGTGGGCGAGAGCCTCAGTGTCAGCAGTGGCAAAGACCAAGTCGTCGACGTACACGAGGATGTAGAATGGCGGCAGCGATATGTCGGTGCGCAGAAACAGCGACTAGTCAACAGTAGAAGGCGCGAACCCAAGAGCCGCTAGTCCTCAGTGTGTCGTGCCACTCACGTGGCGCCTGGCGGAGACCGTAGACCAGCCGCCAGAGGCTCCACTGGGTACCAGGAGAAAACGACCCAGTGAAGCCAGGAGGGCGGCGCAGCCAGATCTCCTCGTGGAGGCTACCCTGCAAGAAAGCTGTGCTGAAGTCAAGAGAGTGAAGCTCGTAGTCACGCTGAGCGGCAACGTGCAGTAGCACTCGAAGAGTGGTCATTTTTGGGATGGGGGAGAAGGTCTGGAAGAAGTCTACTCCCTCTCGCTGACTGAAGCCTCGAGCAACGTAACGAGCCTTGAAGACAGGCGGAGAACCTGGCGGCCGCTTCACCCTGAAAATCCACATGCCACTGACGATGTTCGCCCCAGGAGGGGGAACCTCGTCGACGTAAGTGCCAGTGGACTTCCAAGATGCCATCTCTGCGTCCATGGCTGACTGCCACTGAGAGGAGTACTCACCCGCGATCGCCTCAGCGTAAGAGCGCGGGGTCGGAATGTCTGGTGCATCCGAGTCTCCCTCAAGTGCAATCAGCATTCACACGAGATGAGGTACAGCAGCGGCAAAGCACTCAAAGTCCTCCTGCCTGTCCTCAAGGACGTTCGTGCCTAGAGCACACTCACCCCGACGGACGGAGGACAGACAGGCTCAGACTCAGCGACAAGACTCGCGGCGTAGTCTAGACGACAGCGAGCAGCAAAGTCGACAAGCTCAACAACTAGGGCAGACGCAGCAGCAGACTCAAAGGAAGGGTCATTAACAGCCATGGCCAGGAGACGCCTGACAATAGGACTAGCAGCACGAAGAGAGTCAGACTCCGGGTCAGCAAGGGCAGGAAGAGAGGACGCAGGAGGAGAAGGCAGAGGGACTCGTTGTGGAGCAGTGGAAAGACGAAGCGTCATCTGGTGAGTGCTTGGGACAGCAGGAGGACACGAACGTGGGACACTACGACCAGTGCAAGCAGCACGAACAGGTGACGCAGAACGAGACTCAGGCGACAGAGGACGAGACTCCGGCTCACGACGCTCCGTAAGACCTCCTGTCGGACCAATATAGGGAGAAGGACTAGGAAGCGACGAGGCGGGCTGTAACTGTGCCTGCGACTGGACAGGCGGAGGACACTCTAAGGAGGGAGCAGGACAAGGAGGAGGAGGCTGACCAAGAACCTGCTGAAGGAGCGGAACGAAGTACGGCCGCGGTCGTGAAGCGCCCTCAGAACCAATAGATACCGCACCAGAACCAGCAGAGACCGCACTAGAACCCCCAGTAGCAGCTCCAACTCCAGCAATACTACGAGCAGCTCCAGTAGTGCCAACTCCAGTACCCCAAGTAGCGCCAGCTCCAGCCGCACCGTCAGCTCCAGCACCTGCATGACCAACCCCAGAATCGTCAGCGACACCAACTCCAGTAGGCCCGGCGTCCTCAGCTCCACCGGCAGCTCAAGTAGCTCCAACACTTGCAGCTCCTACTCCAGCACCAGCAGCACCTCCGGTAGCACCAGCTCCAGCATAACCCCCAGTCCTAGCAGCTCCAGTACCTC